AGTTTCATAGAAGACCCTGTAGGTAACTATTGCCTGAACTTGGCCTCATGCATGAAACTGTATCTGACTGTTATAAACTTATATCTCAAATAGATCCTTAGATAGATTCAAACTGTCTCTTCTTCATAGCTGTGCACTACCTAATTTTACAACAAACTTCTAAATAAGTCCTACTGAGAACTTCATGATGTGAATTAAAGCATTTAACTGTAAACCAACCAAACAAAAATAACCTACCAAAATCTATTTGGGGCAACTCCAGGAAAGAAAATGTACATCAACATGTCATATGAGCTCACCATCATTTGTTCTAACTGCAAAGTAAAGCTGTTTTGTTCTTTACTACACTTCTAAACAGTTTTATACATAATTCATTCTGATTGTTTTTTTTCTGACACAATCTTCAATTCCCTAAATGTTTCTCAATTCCCTCAATGTCCTTTTTCTCAATCTCTTTCAAGTACAATGTTTTCTGTCTATATTTTTAACTGCTAATTTATCTTCTTTTGTATTTTTTTGCAACCAAGTATTTTTTTAAATGTAAGAATAAAACTGGTAATGATTGTAAAGCTGACATAGTTATAAAGTAGAGCTGTATAACAGAACCCATAAAAATTGCTTCAACTTCAAATTCATTATATTTATGAGACTTAGCATTCTCCAGTTCTAAATTTAAATTTTGTTTGTACTTCTGTTGCTGTAGAGAGCTACTGCAACATTCTTTAAAGTTCTTTGGAAACTTTTTTTTTTTAAACTAGTCTTTTAAAGTACTATTTTTGTTCCAATCAAGAGCAATAGTTCTAGGGTACAGAAGATCTAAAAGAAACACCTTTGAGAAAAGAAAGAGGGTGGAACTGAATTTGGAAAGAACAGCAGAGCAGGAAGGTTCATGCTCTTTAAAATGTAAAAATATTTCATATCTGTTGGTTCATGTGTTTTGATGTAAACTATCATTTTACCTTGCCTTTGGAACACAGAAGTATTATATGAGTTAAACTATCTGCATTTTAGAGAACAGCCTCAGAATAAGAATTAAATGCAAACCCACCCATCACTTATTATAATGTCAACTGCTGTTTATATTTTAAAAATAATATGCCAGTTCTGAAAAGCTGGGAACTGGTGGACAGTCATAGCTAAAAGGCTTACATGTGACATACAACTTTTGTCACCCTGCTTCCTTCTTTATTTTCTTTTGGACCTTATTTCTTTTTGGCAGTAAATATGAAAGGAAACAACAACACATTATGCAAGATCAGTTATGCTGAACTATTCTGTAATTTAACTTTGAGAAACAATCTCTCAACGAATGATCACAATAGAAAACAAATTTACATGAACAAACATTATCTGCTTAAACAGCTATGGCTGTGTACTGGAAATATGGCTTCAGTTTAAGGAGTTCATAACCTGTAGCCAAGTGGTAGAGGTGGAAATTTTCATGGTTTAGAAATAATTTTATGCCTGCCCATCAATTTTTCTGTTATCTAGGCATGAATAATGAAACAGATTTTTGGAGAAATGGCTGTAAAGTGATCACTTCAAATTAATTTAGACCTTAGCAATCATTTGGTTCTTTCTGTATTTAAAGCCAGGGAAGATTAATTACATTCTTAAAAGGCCATTTAATGCTCATGATGCTCCAAGCATTAAGAAACTTCTAAGACCATCACATTCAAGCTTTCTTTCCAGTATTCATCAGTTTGAAAAAATAAATCTGTATGTTGCTGTCATAGATCGCTAATTTGCTTTAATTAATATCAGTTTAATGAATATTACATTGAAAACAACATTGCAATGGTTGCAGGTCATGAAGTCCACTTTTAGTAATGTATCTCCTTTTAACACTCAACAGTTACCACCACCCAAAACATTAGATCAGAGGAAACACTGTTAAAACCAAACACTTTAGAATCAGATACTCAAATCCAAATTTGTCCATAAAATCTCTATAGATCTATTTGTTTGTGGGCAGTATATCCCTCCTTCATTTCCTGTGGATGTATGTATGAGATCTACTCATGTGGCCTATGCAGGTAAAAATAAATAAATAAAATAAATTTTCTTCTTCTGCAGAGAAGACAAGTATCACAGGACATATCAATATTCTTTATAAAAGAAAGATCCTTGTCCATGTTGCTGTACTTCCTTAGGTTTTGGGGTTGATTGGTTGTTTTTTAAAAGAAATTTTTGTTTCATTTTCTCTTTTTTGGAAATGCCCCTAATCAATTTTATGCCATTCACTTGAGTTTCTGATTAACAGGCATATCTGGAAATTTCTGGCAGTTCTGGATACACAGCAACTTATTTCTGCCTCAGTGGTACCAAAGAGATTAACTGTGAAATCCTCATTCTTGCCAGCAGTAGCCTTCAGCACTGGGTACTAATGATGCAAAGAGAAAGAGCCAAATGACTTATCATATGGTTACTATACAGAGCTGGAATGAAGTATATAATAAATACTTGATTGCTAATTTTTATGAATTCACAGTCATTCATTCATTGATTACATTAAATGGAGAAAAACTTAGGTGGTTTTTGTTTGGGGTTTTTTTGCCAGTATTTTCCCTTTCTCTCTCTCTCTCTCATTTCTTTTTTTCTTTTTAAGCCTCTGGGAGAAAATATATTGCTCTAATAAGAAGTCACTTAATAATTTACCACATCCTTCAAAATCTGATTTAGTGAGTTTATGCTTTCTGGAAAAAGTTAATCAATTACACTTAATTAGCTATCAGTCTACATTTAAAGTCAACTGCCATAAACACCATTTATATATATAACCAAAGACTTGACAAATAAATATCAGTGTAAGAAAACTTAATGAAGAAATTTTATCCCCATTAATACTTGAATATTTACAGGATAGCTAAACTGGTGTTTAATACAGCTTTTCAAAACATACAGTCTAATCTAACTTCTCAGACTTTTAGTACAAAACAGTTATTTTGAATGAATACACATCTCTATCTTTAAGTAAACTTTAAAACAATCATAATCTTTCTGCTCATAATCTTTGAAAATACCTATTATTAGATGAAAGAACTTTTCACTTAAAAATAATATCATGTAGTTCAGCGCTTACTCCTAATTTATTAATATAAAGGTTTAGTTAAATTCAATAAAATTATTTGGTACAAAGAGGTAAAGGAAATAATTTTATAGTCAGATCAGGTTAACTTCTTTTGGTTTAACTTAATCTGCTCAGAGGCTCAGATCTCTGTTGAAAAATACATGTCAACCCAGATGATGTGCTAATGACTGGATATGTGCTTAGAAAAACATAGAGAAGCAGCTCTTGAATGCTGCCATTACTGACAGCTCTCCCCCTAAGGAGGCACTTGTACTTCCCTGGAAATACCCTGCAAGGACTCACTAGTAAATGTAAACAGGCTGAGGATGACAAGAGGCAAAGAGATGCTGTGGCACCTTGGCCATGTGCAGTCTCTGACTCACTGCATCCATGTGCCTGATGATCTTTTTGCAGACTCATGTGTTTCCTGGTAGTTTTGTGTTGATGTTACATGCACTTGGACTCTGCTTTTTTAGAGTCCATGAAAAGGTCATTTAAGTGCATCCACATGTTATTACCTCAGATAATACATAACTTCATAATGGAAAGAGGTTTTATCCTATTTTCTCTTGTGTTTGAGCTAATTTTCTGGTACCACTGCTGTTAAGCACGACTGAAACACGAGTCAAGTGCCTGACACACCACATATTCTTGCTGCTTTTCCCAAGACCCTGTTCTACCCCTTCATCAAGAAAACACCTTTTTTTGAGTGTCAGCTGCTCCCAGTATCTTTCCTGCACTACTATAGATAAAGGACCATAATGAAAGGTAACACAGTCTGTGACAGCTGATATGAAAGCCAAAATGAGCAGTAGAGACAGAAAACTTTTTGTCTCCCCAGTTTGCCTTTGCAAGAGAAGGGAAGTGATTATACCAAGGCACAGAAGGCTCTCTCTGCTCAGAGACCACTGCTGAGAGATGTTCTCAGAGGCTGACTGGGCTCCCTCCTGAGCATTCAACTCCACTCAGCAGAAGGTGATGGCATCAAAGTAATACAATTGTTGCCACCTTGTCCCTTCCTCTCTTTATGCATCATCATTTTCCACACTCAGGGAAGCAGAAAGACGGCAATTATCTTTTCCTTTTTTTTTTTCACCACAGCATTTGTGTTTGCTCAAAGCAAAAAGACAGAAAATATTAATTCTCTTCTGGAAAACTCACAGAAGTGAAGGTAGCCTGTCTAGGTAAATATATTAGCTTCAAAAATGGAATCAAATGTCTTTCCTGATTTCCAGATGCAATCAGTTACAAGATCTGAATCATGTCAGGACTTGCTACCCTTCTTAAGTTTTCAGGAAGTCACTATTGAATAGGTGAACTCTATGTAGACACATGCCCAAGGGTGAGAACAGGACAGATATACATGTATCTGCCATAAAAGAACACAGCAAAGCTAATTAATACCTGCATTGCCTTTAAAACATTATCCTTTAAAACCTCACCTTAAATGAACACCAATCAATCAATTCCCTTGCACTTCTGAAGCCATGTGTATATACACAGCAATCTGCTGCAGAACAGTCTAGAATGGTATTTACCCCTTTTACATCATTCATAGTTTATATTCTTGTCTTGTACTAATTAGCCAAATATAAGTTTGGTTGCTTTTTCTTCAATGCCTACATTTTTTGTAGGTTAAAATCCGCTTTACTTACCACCAAAGATTTATTGAGAAGGCACACGTTTGCAAAGTGGTTTCACAGGAGACAGTATCCTTCATGGTTTTCCTTTCACTGGAATATGAAGATTTATCAAGCTCTGTCTCACCATAATAAGGAAATATATCCCTTGTGGGTTTATAAGTTTATGAAACTTTTTAAGTAAGTCACATTCTTGCTTAAAATGATTGTAAAGTATCACTGGCATTCAGACATTTTAAAAAAAATCAACAAATGTTATCATACATGTCTGATGTGACAAGGCAAAATACCTTGGTTTGCTCTCTTTTGTGCTGAGACCACTTTCCATGGGTGACCAAATATCAACTGTATCTTGATGTGAAGTTCTTGTGCTTTGGAGGGGCGGCTCTCTGTGCCAGGCTCTGCAATCTAAGTCTTGGTGGGTATCTGTAGAGAAGGAAAAAGCTGCTAGAAATCTTTCAGCCCATTTTACTTCTCAAAAGAGGAAGTACACATTAAATTAATTAACTTAATTCGTTAAATTTACAGTAATAGGGAATTAATGAAGTCAATTACAAACATTATAATGATTAAATCACTTATTACGAGAACAGCAGAAATAGAGTTCCAAGATGATCATTTCACTCTATAAATCATCCTTTTAGCTGTAGTGAGAAGAAGGGGTTCATGACCTGACCCTGACTGTGGGGCATTTTCTTCCACAATGATGAAAAAAATTTGGGTGCCCATGTCTTTTCTCCTTTTCTTTCTTCTTTTCTCTTTTAAAGTTTTGTTACGTATTAGGAACTGTGTTTTGGTTTATTTCCTCTCACACTGTTCACTAACACCAGGTTAGCTGCCAAAAATTTGTGTCATATATTTTGCTCGAAGTGAATGCAACACTTGTGAAACAAGGAGAAGATAGAGATAATACTTTGGAAAACAACAGGATCTTTTGGTTTTCCTACTGCATAAGTTAGTCACAACTTTTAGGTTATATGTAGGATTATGTAAGTATAAGTTTAGGTTGTAAGTATATACATATGTAATATATACTCATAATATGTGAATTACTACACTAACTAAAGTGGTCTGTACTTAGAATTCTATACTTTGGCACATGAGTTTTCCCAATCTCTTTGTTGTGATTTTTCAGGACCTTGGTTTATGCTGATCAAAATTGTCTCAGAACAATTAATATTGTCATTTGCTAAGCCCTTGGTGTATCAGTGACTTAGTATGGTGACTAATGCAGAAACAGGGATTAATCTCATCATTCATTGTTCCTTTATTATTGTTACCTCATTTGCTAATTAATGTATATGAAAAATGTGACAATGAGCTGAATTTCAGCCAAGCCTAAGAGGTGAATACCTGCATGGTATGTTCCAAAATTATTCATGAGGTAAAAATTCTGTTGACTTTCAGTGGCTACTTCTCAAAATGAGACCTTAGTTCCCAAGACACATAAATGATTTTCAGAATTACAGCTATAGCAAATTACATTTCACTTCATTAAAGTTTTCTTTAATTTCTTATACTCTTTATGTAAGGCATAATTGATTGTTAAGGAGCATGCCATACGTGTCTAATGCTGAATTTAAGAAAAAAATAAGATATGTCCTTTAAATTTTCTTCTGTCTCTTACAAGAAAGACCTAATAAAATTGAAGTAAAATTATTCTATTTTATAACAAACCCTGATTATCTTTAGAAAACCTTAAGTTTTAGACACATTAAAAATGTTTGCAATCCAGCTGTAGTATTTATCTAAATAGGATTTTATTACTGTGACTTTGCTTGCAGAATTTTAAATATACTAGATCCTCATTCTACTTAGCAGCCTTTTAATGGAGCTCAGTATAAATGGCAATGGTGAAATGACAATTTTGTTGCTACCACATCAGACATTGGGTGATACTTCTAGAAAGAAGCACTCACGGTGAGCTGATGATGTGGCAACATTTCCCTGTTACTGCATACAAGTGCTTCAAGTCCAAACGAAGTCATATTGTTAAAGCAGCAGTGTCTGGCATTCTCAAATAGACATCTCTCAGGAACTGTCAGAAGTAACTGCAGCCTTTTACTTTCCCAATGTAAGTTTGTCATAATAAAGAGGCTGTGCTGACTCCAACAGTCAAGGAGAGATGCTCAGCTGCTCACAGCTGAGCTGAGAGTCATTTAACAGAATAAGCAGTGGAAATGTAATGTCCAAGTTAAACTCCGGGTCGAGGGTAAACGTGGCTTTCTCAATAATGGAGTAATGCTTTAGGATTCCTTTCTCTATGCAGAAAACTACAGTGTAAGAGTGACCTCTACAGGATTGTGGTGCTCCGAGACTGCAGTCCCAGGGACTGTTTTTAGAACACTTTCAAATGTATTTATTTGAAAACGGAAAACAAACTGCAACATACAAACCAACGCTCCCTCTAAGTATCAGCCTGAAATCGGTAACAATCTGAATTTACAGCTTGTAAACACACAATTAGAGTTCCTGTAACAGATTTACAGTAGTTTCTAGATATGAAAACTATGTAAGGACTTAAAATATTCAGCTGATTCAAAGGAGGTTTCAAGAATCATTGGGTTTCATTTGGAAGGGATCTTAATGATCATCTAGTTCCAACCCCACTGCCATGGACAGGAACAACTATCACAGGTTGTCCAAAGTCCCATCCAACTTCCAGGCATCTACAACTTCTCTGGGTGACCTGTGCCATAAAAGTACAATTTGTACCATTTTTTTTCTTTTTTTAATGGGCATTCCACTGTTAGTGGACAAACTGTTGTCCTTCTCTGCCATCTCCTTTATAAACTGCCTCTTCTTTGTTCTACTATTCTATTTTTTTGCTTAGGGACTCAGTCCATTTGTCATATGTACACTTTCCATCACGCTTAAATGAAATAAAATTATGTCATAAGCAAAAAGAATCTGGATGGAGGCACATGTGAATAGCATGAAAATGTTCTTCCATAAGAATTTTTACTCAGACAACTGAAAATTTTTTGTGGCTGCTGGGAAAAATAAACCAAGCAAACAAAAAATAGAGTGTGACTATGGCTTAGGTTATCTTTTAAAATGTTTTATTGGCTAGGAAGTAGTAAAGAAGGAGTAATTTTTTGTTAAAAAAACCCCTGGGCCCTGTTGTAACTCATAAGTATCCATAACAGCCCACAGTCACTCTGTGAATAGATACGCATTCTACCTCACATATTAACAGCAGTGTAGTCATGCAAACTACACCCAGAAACATCAGAAATAACTACTCTACTTAAATCAGCATGAGCTGTGAGTATTGCCAACTTCGGTCTCAGGCAATGCATTTCAAAAAGAACCTTAGACAGCTGGTAAACCTTCTAGTCCTCCTTTTAAGAGATAAATAATGTTTCTCATTCTCACTTCTTCACTTTTTAAAAATTTATTCTTTTGTAAATTTTAGTATTAGTCTTTTTTAGACTAATAATATAATAGAATATAATTCATTAGACTACTTTAAAGAGTAAAATGTTAAGCTAACTTATCTGAGAACTTATTTGGCATAGACTACCATATAGATGGATTGATAATCTTAATGAAGTCTATCTCTTTGTATTATATCTGGAAATAATGTGTGGTGATGTATAATTTGATGTTCAGTTTCCTTTTCTACTTTCATATATATATATATATAGTTTACATTATCATATGCACTATTCATAAAGGCAGACAACATTAGTTAGTAAGGAAAAAAATGCTGTGAAGCCCTGGATTTTACTACAATTTACATCTATAGCTGATGTGCTACAGAGCTGTAACACACAGGCTCTATATTGAGCCTTAAGGAGATACATCCTCATGTGGGAGACACATCCATGTGTGGATGAACAGGGAAACTCCTCATCCAGCTTCTTGTGGAAGCAGCTCTCAGTGATTCCATTACTTACCAGTACCAATTACCAGGATCAATTGTGCAAATGCCCCAGCGATGAATAAGCATTTAGGATTCTACAGGAAAATTGCTGTTTGGCATTGTGTTTCAGAAACTTAGAGTGAAATGTAGAATGGCTGGAATGCTGGAGAGAGACCTTAATCTGTAACTCACCAAATGGTAATGCAAAGTAGACATCTAGTAAGATCTCATGTGAAGTTGGTGTTTTCGTGCCTTGAATCTCACTTCCATGTTTTATTACTTCAGAATGCAATGTCCACCAGGAACCTGGGCCTTCCTAGGAAGAAGAAGTTATGAAAATTACCTGGGCAGGATTTATTGGATTATCCACTTTTTACTGGATGAGGTTTCCCCTGAGTCAATGGGAATTTCTTTGTAACTGCAATATGTTTAGATATCCATTCTAGACTCTTCCAACTTTTGTTTATATAAGTATTACTTAAGACTTCATCAAGTTTTCTCACAGTCATTGAATTCAAAATAATATAACATTTGCTCTACAATAGAGATGAATACACATTAAGGTTGTCAGATGATTAAGACACAAGAAATATGAATACTGAAAACTACACTTATCAACTCAGATTTTCCAGTTTCCCTTTGAACTGGTGCCAAACAAGTACACTGTAGAAAGACTGAAACAATCCATATAATCTAATAACAAAGCCCTTATAGTTTATTTCTGAGTTATAAAGCCCAGAACTGTGGGGTAAGACAAGCAGGATAATTAGGAAACTTCCAAAGTGGATCAATTATAAATGAAGGTTTAGAGGATCTGAAGAAATTAAAAAAAAGTCTCTTATCTTTCATCTGTGTTTGTTTAAAGTTTCAATATTTACTAGCAAGCCACAACCTCTGTGTCAGCAAGTTGTAACTCAACAACAGCCAGGGCAGCAGAGCAGAACCACTTGCCTTGGGGCTGGAAATGGCACTTGGCAGCTGTGATACAAAGCAACTTCTAATTTAAGCAGGAACTACTTTCTTCCTCTGCTTCCATTTTCTGAGTAGAATCATTGAAATGTCAGTTCAATGTATATATGAATATTTATTACTTCCTGTAAAGAAATTGCTATAGGGTCTGATGAGAGACACTGTAGGAAGTTTTCTAATTTTCTCTCCTTTACCTCATCTCCAATCGCCTTTTTTATGTTTTAGAAAAATTAAAGAAGGCAAAAAAATTTTTCAAAGATTAAATTAATCTTCTGTAATTCAGAGTTACTTTAAAAACAGACTCCATGGACTACGTGTAGCAGAGCATATTCATGGATGGGAGAATTGTGGAATATTAGAATGAGGTAACTCTTAAGTTTTCTGAATTCAGAAAATTTTGCAGCACAGGCAGTTCACTTCCGTATTTCCATGGTCCCAGAAACCTTTTTTCCTTGTTTGATATCCTACTGAGGGCAAGTATGCTCACTCTGGTGGCCAGCTGACTATGCTGGATACACAACTCTTGGTATTGACCCAGTTTCTCCACTCATCCTTCTCTATGCACTCTGTAATTTCTTCTGTAGTTCCACTGGGCAAATTTCAGTTTTCCTCTCTGAGACAATGGCCAATTCCCTTGAGAGAGAGAACAACAGTATTTTGCCCACTTTAGTAGAGATTTACCCAAAGTCACACAATGAAGAGCCAGGCCTGGAAAGTTAATCTAAAATGCTTTCACTCCAATCATACAAACCAAACCACCCCTGCCTCCCTAACAGTTCATGAGAGCAGATGAACTCACTCACTGCCTGTAGAATACCTGGCTCAGTGTCTGAGCCATTTTCCCAGGATATATGGATAATGCATTTCACTTTAAGAGTCACATTGTGCCTCACCATTGCAGATTGGAGCAAAGGAGACAGAAGCATACACTGATCATAAATGTCATTACAGTATTTGGGGAGACTAAGAATGAGAAATTTGTGGGATTTTACTGAGCGTTCTATAATTCCACAGGAAGTCAACTTACATCTGTTGCATATTCCACAGTTGCAAGGGGAATCCATAAAATTCCCAAAATGCTATCCCAGAGCAAGCCTTTCTTCCACAGCTCTACAAGGAAGCCCTTTCCATCAGCACAGATTTCACTAAAAAGAGACAATACAGAAACCATTAAACTGAAACTGAAAATGCAGTTTCATCTGCTCAATAATCTATAATAATAAGTTAGTGACTTACAGGAGATATAGAGATGGTTTTTTTCCTATATAGTCATAAAATAGTAGGCAGTGGTGTCTCTGCTGTGACTGATTGCACATAATCTGCATTTGACTGAATTAATTTTAATGAAAATAATCTTCAAGTTATTGTGTGGTGAACCACGGAGAATTACTGTGTGCTTAAAGTTATCAGGAAAAGAACAAATGAAATCTGAGAAGGGCAAGGGATGTCACCTCTGAGACAACTTTTTAACTCATCACATTGCTCTCAAAAATCACTATGTTGGCTGCAACAATGTCTATTTTTCTGCTGTATTCATGCAGCTGAATAGATATATTGAATTTTTGTTTTGCTAAGCTTCTCTCTTTGTGTTATGGAAGACAGATTGTAAATTTTTAGGCCCCAATTTTAAACCTGCACCGACAACAATGAAAGTGCAGATTGAAAGGTTAAAAAATGCACAATTTTTAAACTGCAAGCTGGTAATATCTGTGTGTAACAGAACATAGTTTTTACTGTGAGAGATGGAGTGACAGCCCTTAAGAAAATGAACTACAGTATGACTCACCAAAGTCTACTTAAGTCTACTTAAATGCCTACTTTTAATCCCTTTTAAAAGTCTGCTGTGCTGTATAGATGAGCAGGCAGCAGATGGAGCTACAGCAACCTTGTAACATGCTAGAAAAGTGCTCTAGTATTCTTTGGCAAGATTTACATTGCCAACTAAGAAAATAATCCTAATGAATTGCTCATTTTCAATGATATCATGCAACACTCATTTACATATGATCTGATAAAATGAAAACCTTTTAAATAACAGCAAAGCAATGTATTAACTGATATTTTGACACATTCTTCAGGTAACCAGAAAATACGAAAAAAGTTATTCAAAACAACTCATGTGTCTGATAAAATATTAAAATACTTGGATTAGAAAATACCCAAAATTGTAAAAATGACATTTTTTCATAAGAAGAACAACAGCAAATTAAATGTTGAATTCTGCAAAAACATTTCAACCAACTCTAGACCTCAGCAATTAAATTTATGTTCCCCCAGCAGGAATGTGGTGACAGAGAAAGATTTGTGCAGGGGAAAAAGAAGGGACCAAAAATGGTGGAGATTAATGTGCTAAGTCAGGATCTAATTAGATTATATTTATTGGGTTTAACTGCTTTGGAATTGACAGTTGGAAGCAGGTTTACTCCGAATGTCAGGCAGTGTATAAATGCTTGTACCTCCTGACCAGTGAGGTGTGTAGAAGGCTCTGCAGAAAAGAGGACAATAACAACAGAATAACAAGATGGAGAGCTGAGTGAAGCAGACAAAGATCTGCAGGCAGAAGTGAGAAATAGCAGGGGTCAGTAATAAAGAAACTACCTAAATTGGCAGCTGAGGAGATAAATTAATGCATAAAATATGAGTCACACCAAAAGGAAACTGAGTGAACAAAAATCAAGTTGCTTGAGGATCAATTTGAGTTCTCTTTATTCTCATTCCTGTACTCCTACAACATTTTATGAAATTAAATTTGGAGAGAAATTCTTCCCCTTGTTGATCCTGGCCTTGATCTGCCATGTACCTTGCAAAATTAACTTTAGCTCTGTTCCCCAGGGCTAGTCTGCACCTTCTCTCTGAGCTGGATACTTTTTCCTTGCTTCTGTGGTCTGTACATGGCCTTGCATGTACTAAACTGTTCTAAACCATACAAATACAACAAAGATACCACAAAATCAAGAGATAAGAATTCCCTGTTACTTACAACATGAAGTCTTGTTCCCAGCAAGGGTCACTTCCTCGTCTATCAATTGTAGTGCTTTTCAAATTTTGGACTTTTAAAACCACATAGGTTTTGGATGCATCTGAAAAAGAAATAACCAGCACATTAAACCTCACCTTAGTTCTTTCCAGAAGCTGGAAACATTTAACCCCAAGGCAGTAAGGGTTTAATTTTTACTCCACACAAAACATTTAGAGGTGTGGTTCAAACATGTGGATTTGAACAAGAAAATTCTTATTAATTCTAATGGGATTATGCCAGAAAAATCTCTGCCCCTGACAGGTGGGAGAGAACATCCCACTAAATGTGAGTATTTTAAAGATCAGCTTCCAGACATGGGTTTTTACTGCTTATCAATCTCCCTGACAGCTCTTGCATGAAACAAGCATGCAACTCCTTTTCTGAAAATTAGGACTTTCTTTGCCTTTCCATTGCTATGACAATATTGACGAGTGGCTGATAGGTTTTTATGTTCAATGAAGGGAAGGCAACAGACTTGTAATATGTAATTCAGTCTTGGTGCATGAATCTAGTTCTGTTACAGATGCAGCAGAAAAATGGGTTTCAGAACTCATATATTTTTGTAAATGCCTTTGTAAAAGCACAGTATGAGTATTCATAAATTGGACCCAGTCAGCAAAAAGAATAAAATTTTAAAAATTTCAAAGGGATTGAAAATATCACTGCCAGAAGAAAGCAAAAGAACTGAGGGAAAGCTCTATCCTGTAGGGCCTCATACAGGAATCTAAGGTGCTTAAAGGCATATTATATCATCTCAATGAATGTGGCTTTTTAGCTTGCATGCAGGTAACACATCCTTCACTACCCTCCAGCATCCTAGATAAGGATCAACATTGACACAGGACTGAAAAAAACCTTTTTTTTTTTTTAATAGAACTACTGCCAAAATATATATACAAGAGGTAGCTAAGAACAGAATTTTTGAGCTGTGTGTTTTACCACAGGTCAATCAAACAGTCTGTTACAGGGAAGGTGTCACTGTCTGCAATAGATTACTGAATAGGTTGTATCAAATTACACTGCAGTTAACAAAAAGTGTGAAGGAGAAGAGTTGGCTGTGTACATCCTGTGTGTAGATCTTATTGATTAGGACTGATTATAATGTTTGACCAAAGGACAAAAGATATCATGTAACAGGAAGTATTCTGTCCAATAAACACATTCAACAGTGGTCAATGTTATCTATTTATTTTCTATAATTCAGTGCACCAGTCCTCTCAAACAGGACTTTGTTTTTCAGCTGCAACTCAAGGTCTGAGAAATTTTCAAAAGAATTCTAAATGACTTGGCTGAAAAATAGCAACCTACAGTCTTTAACTTCAGCCATTTAGAGCATTTTAATTTACTCATGTAAATTGAAACTACAATAACCAACCTCCCTCATATTAAAACATATGTCCCCTAAATGAAGCCATAAATGACAAGATAGAAACTTAAAGACACGTTTTAGTGGTAGTCTCTTTCATTATACTATTATCTTTATATTCAACTATAATTTCACAGGCCAGACTAGATGACCAAACTTAATCACCTTGTATATTTCCCCACCTCCTTTTCTATCACAAAAAATAAAAATATTTTGGACTGCTTGCATTATTGTCTTGCCTGAAGCCCTGTCATTTGTTTTTTAAAATAGCTATTTTTCCAGTAGTTCCTTGTCTTCTTTGGCTCTTCTCTGGATCTAAATATTACCCTTCGGTGCTTTATGACTAATTCACCTTCTTCAGAAGCCATGAGTTGTGTCAAGTAAGAAAAAGATACTCTACCTCTCAAACAACTGTGAGTATATAACCTCCTTGAAGAATAACACTGCCCAGGGTGAATATTATGAAAATACCCTGGCAGTAGAAAGGATCTGTCAATTTTGCAGTTTTGTTTCCACGAAGCCATTATTGTGGCTCCCAAACCTTTCAGCTGTCAAAAAACAGAGACATGAAGTGCAACTTTTTGCAGGTTATCCACTTGCTCAAACCTTCAGCTTTCAACCCAGAGCACAGACAGCAGCTTCACAGCAGTTTACACAAAGGAGTAAACAAACTACAGGATAATCACAGCATTTTGAGAAACATGAGGGTATTTCAAGGCTGCTCTTAGTCACCACCTGCATAATGGTTCTGCCCAAAAAAACATGACCAGTTATCAGAGAATACACCGTTCAAATGTTATTAACATCATTTATGGTGTTAGCAAGTCTTCAACAGCATTCAAAAGAAACTTGAAACTACATATCTTTTATCAAATTATTCTGTTTGATAATCATATTCTGTACATTATCACCTCTTTTGAGCATCAGCAAAATATAAGATTTGCTGAACCCTGCAGAACATTTTTCTGACTGCATTAGGGTTTCAATGAAAAAGAGAAGATTCTTCAGTCCATCCTTTGTACAAACATTTCACAACCTGCTGTTAGAAATGCCAAGAACAAACAGCTTGGTCTGTGCCCATTCAGGTTACCTTTCTTTAATTCAGATGACTTTAAACAACTTGAATTTGCTTAAATGTATTAACTAGCAAATTTTGCTGCACTGATTGGGTTGTATATTAGTTTCTCCTGAGAACTAGTAATTACAAAGGTCTTGAGGGCCTTAAATTTATAGTCCACCTCTGTGTGAGAAACCTCTGGCTGAGTTTGGACTTTCTTTTCCATGCTGGTTAAATCTTAGTCCTGGAAACAGAGAGTTCTGGGCAGTTTGGTTTTGCTCCTATTTATTGGCTGGGGCATACACCTGATCTCTATAACTGTCCAGCAGTATCTCCAACCTGTATTTCCTCTCTGGGAAAATTCAGGCACAGTCTCCAATTTTCTGCAGCCACAACCTTGTAAAGATAATTTGATCTCTAAAACATATGTTTAATCTTTAATTCTTTCCCCATTTATTCATTTTTATTGAACTATTGATCAAATGTATTAAAGTAGTCCCAAGCTTAGGTGATTCTTTATTGTGACACAGACATACATGCCTAAGAAAGAAAAATGTAAAGTAGAAATTTAAAAGGAAATGAAACTTACCAGTCATTTTATCCAGCCTTCCTTTTTTCACTGTATAAAAAAAAAATATTATTTTCAGATAATACCTTAACAATGCTTGCCAATGGATTTTATGCAAAATAAAATCTAAAGGACTTATGTGGTATAAAAAACCTCGATCAAAAATGAAAACAAGTAATCTTCAAAAAATACAAACATCATTGTGGGACAGTAATATGATTTCTTGGAATACTTTGGGAAAGAGAACATGTGAAAACTCCTTGCACCTTACAAGAACTTAATAACAACACAGAGGGCAGAATGAAGAGCAGGTGTCCAGGAAGGGTAGTGTGCTATTCATCACCTCTTAATGCTTGTTCAAAATTCTTCCCAATAGATACAGAAGACTCACAGACTGTACATAATCTAAAGCAGCTTCTATCATCTTACAGAGAATCCTTTATTACATTGTATTTACTCTGGCTGTTAGAAAGGATGCACTTCAGTAAATACATTACCAAATAAAAAGTGAACATTTCAAATTCTGATTTTGCTCAGCAACCTTAAGTTTCACACTATGGCATTTCTTCCATTAATGAAAAATGCCCTGAAACTAATAGGATTGGGATTCATATAATCATAATTATGAAGATCTAACCTGGTCATGATTTTTTATTTTACTCCTAAAGTTCATTAAATTCAGACTTTTAAACAATATAACTAAATATTCTTTAAATTTTCCTGCCATATCAATGCATGTAAGACAGTTTGGTTTAATTTTAGTGAAACATCACTGCAGTCCTACAATAACTGAACCTCCTCTAGCAACACACTAATGTACACATGATGTATTTCACTGCTACACTTAGGACCATAGTAATTGCCAATAAAACAAGAAGTCCACAACTTTACAATGCAAAGGTTCCCAAAAGCTTGCCGCCGTTTTCCAATATCCTTTCCACTTCCTTAACCTCACCTGGCCTTTTATTACTTATTTTTGCTTTCATCTCTCCCTAAAGGTCCCTAAGAATGCCCTGGAATTGCACCACATTTGCAGACTGTCCATCTGACAGCCTGAACGATTCCCCCACTCTCACACTGAGAGAGCTTTCACTTTCCACACAAATGGTGAGGGGCCAAAATGTTGCTGAGCTACCAGCACAGTCCAAACACTGCAGCAGCTCAACTGCACTGAAAGAGTGCAGAACTTACACACTGCATTTACTTGACTTCCCTGGAAGGAAGTACTGCAAGAAATATTCTTATCAGCTTAAACAATGCACATCTCCAGTCTATGAGGTTACTTTTTATAGCCACGTACTAAATATTTGTCACATGGGTGAAGGAGCTTCTATGAGAAGAAAAACCTACCTTTCACAGAGAGAAGTTCCATTTCAGCAGAAAAATATTTTAAAGAACACGCATTGAAATTCAGCTTTTTCTTCACAAGAGGAAAAGAAATAGTTTGGCTTGAATTAAATTACTCTTCTGCTGCTGTTCCCTCACTGCAAGCGTGTTTCACTTTTGCCGCTCGCTCCTCCCATGTTTTTCATGGAGCAAAGCCAATCAATTGATGGAGCAGTAAAATACTGACGACAAATTCCTTCTCCCTCTCCACACACAGAGATGGAAGAGGAAAAGAGAAATATTAGAACTGTTCGCTTACCCTCATTTCCTCACCCTCATTTCCTCAACTTCTATCTGCTGTATGCAGCTGTCTCCAGTCTAAACAAATTTCTGAATGCCATCTTTTCCAGAAATAAGAAACTCAGGGCAACTATTCTATTAAGGACATACTTTTGGAGCTCTTACACTTTGATTTTAATACTTGCAAAGCATCTGAATTGGAAAACAGAAAGTTCATGGGTTTTTTATCTTTTAACACAGTCACATAATCAGAACACATATTTTAGAGTATTTGCTATAGCTAGGCATAAGTAGCCTTAATTTTCTAAAACAGTGTGAATAAATATTGCACAAAAAGTTGGATTTTATTATACTTCATGAATTTCTAATTGTATTGCAGCAGTTCATGGGATTGTAAATATTCTCATGAAATGTTAAAATATTTTACAACAATACTCAAAACACCAAAATTATCATAAGAACAGTGGTGTTTATGACTAGTTATTCAGATTAACACTGGGTTTTTTTGTTTGTTGGTTTTTAATTGTGGTTAACAGTATGTGTATTTCCACAGATATATAGTATTTTTATATATTTTTCTCCATTATATTATAAATGAATACTTAGATCTTAAATTCAAGTAAGGAAGTGTCCTTGGAGCAGAGGGGAGTGCATATATCTGAGTTAAGGACTGGCTGTCTGAAGCCTCAAGAAATTGGGTCTGGAGGAAGGCACACCTCAAAACACAAGTGAGAGCTGAGACTGCCTGGCCTGGCCAGGAGAAACCTTTGGGAGGTAGGATGGGTTTAATCAGTGTTTATAAAAACCTGATGAGAGGCTGTAAACAAGACTGACTCTTGTGATTGTTGCCTAATAACAGGTGAACAGGCAATGGGCACAAACTGAAACTCACAGTTTCACCAGAACATAAGAAGAGTCTCTTTTTCCAGTGAGGGTATTTTAACACTAAAATAGGTTGTCCAGAGAGGATGTGGACTCTTTTTGCCCTTGGAGATACCCAAAACCTGACTGAACAAAACCCTGGGCAACCTGCTCTTGCTGACCCTGTTTTGAGCAGGGATGTTGGACTAGATGGTATTGAGAGTTTCCTTGTGATTCTGTGATAGTTCACAAGGTCAAACTGTTAAGTGTGACATTGTAGAAAATGTAATTCAGGATATCATGAAAATCTACAGTCACTATGCATAGTATGAGTAGTTTTTTCCCCTTCATAGAAGTATCATAAGAAGTACTTATGTTGTTTCAGAATCATGCTACTATGCCATAATCTGAAGTTTTGGTCTTGTGTTTTAGATGAATATATTTGCATCTCTCTCTTCTGAATTCTGTTCTGATCAAGTCTCCCACAGCAGTGTGATGCTCTTGGACAATAAGGTTTCCACCTTATGCAAGCAATGGAGTTCCACTGTAGTTAACAAAGCTAATCTGGTACACACTGGCTGAGAAATTATCCCAAACTGTGTATTTGGATCACATGACAAAAAAAATATTTACTTGGAACAAAAATCTAATCACTGCTGACTTAAGATTCAGTAAATAGAGTTCACAGTAAGCCCTAGCATGAATCAAAGTTACACAGCTGCATCTCTGTGTCTCTCTGAAACTGTGCAAACTTGACTCTTCTTCCTTTCTTCCAACTCCCCTTCTCAAATATCAGGGCCCTTCCTGTGGAATTTTCTCCTTGGATTCTTGGGTTGCAGCTGCAGCAGCAGCCATTGTGGCTCATGTGATACCATGGCTGTTTTTTACATAACCTACTGGGAAAGATGTTATGACTTTATGGTAAGAAATATGCAGAGAATACCTGAACATGGGCAGAAGGTCACTGTGGACTCAGAACAGTGCGTGTACAAATGCTCTTTCATTTGGAAAAAGCATTTATTATATTTAACAAAGGAATAGTGAAAAGCACTGAGCTGGAACAAGCTGTCAGGATGGTGTTTGGCTAAAGGGCACAAGAGTAGAGGCTGCAGTACAACTTGCACGTTTCACCAATGATAGTTTCAGTACCTCAATTCATTACCCTGTTACTCAGCCATGCCTTCCTCAATGTTTTCCCTTTTCCATGTTACAATTCCCTATTAATGCCTGATGTAACACTTCAGCCCTATATGCTGACTTCAGTTAAAAGGTCTCAGCATTCCAGATCTATATGCAAAATCAAGAATTTAGAAAGAAATACGAAAAAAAAGGAGCAAAATTGTTTACATTGCATTTTTTACCTAAACTATTTCAAGGCTGCCTATAGTGATTTGGCTGTATTCAATGTTATAGCAATATGTATAACAATGCTGTTATGTGTAATGTGCCACCTGAGACCTGACACTGTTGAGTCATCAGCTTCAAAAAGAGTTATCTAATTATTTTCCAAGCCAAATTCTCAACTGATATGAGGATGATATGATTCTTTTCATTTGTGAGCATACTTTTTTTTTAGTGAGGATCTGACTTTTTTTTAACTTCTTTTTTTTAATATGAATTCACATAACATACATTAGCAGATTAAAGCCTGCCACCATCTTTCAGTTAATTCATCAAAAGCAAGGAGATTTCACTCTGATGATTTACCTACTTGGCAGCAAAACTATGTATTGTTCTTTTCAGGAAGTTTCTTGTCTACAGGACACTCGTAATGCAATAACTAAGGTCATGTACTCATAGATTTTAATATAATATTTTGCAAAACGAAAACAAGGAACAGAGAACGTTGGAATACTGATTGCAAAAGAATGTGGACGACAACTTCTAACTTTCACAGGGAAAGGAAGACACAGCCTACTGCTGTTTTAATATATATCAGTTATGAAAGAGAACCTTAAAAAATAAACTTGGTGAGAAAAATGTCCAAATTTCAATTGATATTAGAAATACATAATACAGGAGCAGTTTCCTTGCATACCCTACTTTTCTGTCTGAGACCATCATGAAGCCATGTTTTCTTGGTTATTTTTATGCTGACTCGTGTATTTTTAAAGAGGTTTTGGCCTTGGAACACCAACATTTGAGCTATTTTTCTTCTGAAGTTCTTCTCTTGAGGAGAAAGAGAATTTGCTCCTTTGCAAATTATTATAGACAGTGAAATTTTCAGCTGAACATTCATCAGCATCTCCTCAACACTAGCACATGAAGAAATGTGCCAATCACCTCAGAAGACTAAGTGATAAAGTGTATTTTTGTGTTCCCCTTGAAGTCAGCCATTAGTTTAAAATTAGAGCTAGTGGGAGAAGATTTATGCCTATTACAAGGAAAAAATTATGCACAATTCAGGTAAAATTCAAAGATAAGTAGTTATATTGTCATTATGGTGATCCCTATAATACACAAAGCTGAAACCCATGAACAGGAATTCAACCAGGACAGCAAGAAAAGAAAAAAAATCACTTTTCCCAGACAGTTCATTTCTGCCTTTCAGAAATATAGACTCTGCATCCCCCGGTGTATTCTATAATTTTCAGTAGAGTTTGTAAGTGATAAAAGACAGAAATAATGAACTCTGTAACAAAATATGCTATCAAGAGATACATCATCAGAGTGACAGGATAAGCAGAAAATCAATCAGCTGATTTCTGACCCTGAGAAACTATGAGCAATATTGCAGATAGGAACTACAAATTAGATCAGTTTTGTCCTTGTCTCCAAAAGATTGGAGCAACTATAGTTAGGGATAATAGGGGATGTGCTCTGGGCTTCACAGGAATCACCTTGATAAATGAGTTTGAAGCACTCCATTTACCCTTTTCCAACAGGACACAAACCAAGGGCCTTCCTTCAAAATGTTCTGTGTTATTAACCACCAAGTATATAGATATAAATTTCATTGAAATATCTACTTGTTATTAATCTCCAAAACTGTAGTGAAGTCACAGCAATAAAATAATCCTGAAGTTTTAACACAAACAAAAATACAATAACTTGTCAGAGACTCATATTCCACCTGCCATATTTGTGATAGTCACAGGAGCTAGTAGGTTATTGGACTAAAAATAGAGTTATCCCACAGGTTTGTTCTTATTATATTATGGTATTTAAACTACAAATAAGTGCCCCAAATTTTAAAATTTTGAATAATTGAATACTTGGAGGTATTAAAAAACCATACAATTTTTTTTTTCATTTGATCCTAAATTCTAGAAAAAAATAGATTATTCAGTTCACATTAACATGAAGGGTCTTTTTATACAAATTTTGCCTGTCATTTCACATCTCCCCTTCCTTGACTTCAGTTTCATGAAGACTCAGAAAACTGTCACTTACCTGTCTTTTGAAAATAGTGTCAGAATTAGCACTTGTACAGTGCTTTTGGATCTTCCAATCAAGGATGCTGTGAAAAGCAAAATATTTTTACTATGTCGCATAAACAGAAATTGAATACATACAAACATTGTACTACTGCACTAACTGGGAAGAGGATCACAGGCTCTGATTATAGTCCTTAAATTTGGGCACAGTTCTGCCTGCACTGTGACCTCTGTCTCAGTGAGGGAGTTTTTTGGACCACTGAAATCTCATGCCCCAGAAAACATTGCTCCCTTTGTACAGCAAGACAGATTAGACAAAGTGACCTTAAATCCTGCAAGGAAATATAAATCTCGTAAAAATATGCGTTTTCTCTTTTGGAGTCTATTTCAAGTTAACCAAGATTTTCTAAAGGTTTTTATTTCCTTGTCAATATTGCTGCACATTGGTATGATTTCTGTAAAATTGCTTGCTGCCACACAAAAATTACACTGTGCTCATTATAATTAAGAAGGAGTAAGTTTCAAAAGAAACAAACAGCTTATCAGAGGCCAAATCAAACATTTGTACTCAGTAACTCACTGTTGGAAGTACCAATCTGTTCCCTATGAAAGGAAATATTTTCCAGTCGCTTGCATTGCTCTTCCACATGTTCTGGTGTAGCTGTGGCAACCCTCTTGACTGCTTTTAATTTTACATGCAGGGACCTCTAGTGGCTCGTGTCTGATTTGCTCTGGAAAACAGCAATGATTTCTCGTTCCCAAATGCACTTCAGGTGTTTCCAGATCTTAATCTCTTAAAACACAGCACGGTAAACATTTTACTTCACAAAAAGAAAAAAAAATACTAAAATACACAACTGTATTTCATAGTGCACATGAAAAGTTTGAGACAACAAGAAAAAGTTTGTCCCTTTTTTCATTATTTTCAAAATTCACACCTGGAGAATAAACATACCTTTTATTTTTAAAATACCATAGAACACGTACCTTAATTATTTTTCCTCAAGAAATTCCATTTTACTAATCTTGTGCACCAGATTTATTACTCTGGCCTCTGTATCTTGTCCTAGCTATAAATCTCAACTAGATGTCATTTTTCATCGTTTCATGTGTGTTGGTTCTCATACAATCCTCCCTCTGAATTCTGATTTACTGGAGCACTTGAACCCAGGCAGCTCTCTCGGTGTCAGTCGTGTTGTTCTACATGTGAAAAAAAGAAAGGTGGCAGAACAAAGCTCCTACCAATAAATCAGGCAAGGCTTGGTAATTCCTTCATCTCCACTCTTAAATGAGCCCAAAAGTTCCTGAGCAAACAGACCAACAAGTTTCAGTTTGATCACTCTGCTATTTAGCAGAATTTTTTCTAACTCTGATAATCTTATTGCTGCAAATTTAATGTACCTTTTCCTAATGCTTTCAAAAATCCTCCATTCCTGGGACACTCAATGACTGCATTTAACCTGTATGAGCTCTGCACCCCTATTTTTGAGATTGTAATCCTCTCCTCAGCTCACTTTAAAATATATGTAGTCAAGAAAAGCCATGAAACCATAGTAGAAATCAAAATGTGTGAGACATCCTATTTCCTGTATCTCTGCTAAATGAATACATACAAAGCACTTAAATTAATATTTCTAAAACAAAATCAGTAATAGCTCAGCACTTTCAGCTTTTTTTTTTTTTTTTAAATTACTTTATGCCCTAAAGCCACATTAAATACATACCTATAAGAAACCCAAATATTTCCTATTCTGCTTCTCTAGAAAAACAGAATAGATAATTTCTTTCCCCTGGATTCTCATGTCCCCCAGAAGTATTAAGTGAGGAACTCTTAGAAACAAATATATATGGTTTTACAGGACCAAGAATACTTGAAAAATTGTGGTCATGATCCTTATTATGAGACATTTTAAAATTGGGAAAGTTGTTACAAAAACTCCCTCATTTTTCTCCCCCTTAAAAATATAATTTATTATTCCACACTTTTCCTCAGAAAAACGCAAAGAATGAAAAATAAAGCCATTTTACACATATAATCTTGCAAGGAAAAAATGTGAAGAGAGGAAGCAAGGAAAAAGCCCTTAAATATATAGGAGAAGGACAAAACAAGGAGGTTACTTCTACAAGCTCAAAATGCAGTTAAACTGCAATTCAACAATAACAAACCACGTTTTTGCATTCCGAGCAGAATCAAGCTGTAAATAGGATTTTTCCTTCCTCCCTGTTTGCACTTTGCTCCCTCTGGTGTCTCAAAGCGTGTATGACATTCCTTGGTCGTTACAATAAATAAGCAAAACCATACCGATTACTCATATTTTAAAATTATTAATATTGTGAAACTACCCCTTTGTTGGATGTAGTGACTACAAATTTATTATTTTCTGGGAAAAAACCCAAGCAATAAACTACATTTTGTAAAGCCAGTAAGAAAGTTATTAAGAGAGAGAGTTCTGTATCACCAAGCACTGCCTGGCTTTAATTCCACAGTGTAACAAATACAGACTTATCTCACCCTTTTATCTGACAGCAATTTGTGAAATTACATTTATTCTCATAAAGGTTTGTTGATTTAATCAACAGCATTCTCAAGTCTCCAGAAGTCCAGCCAGTGGTGAACATACCCATAGCTTATCTTTGCAAAACAACAGCTCCAGTGACATGAAATGTTACATTTTTTCATCAATATTTCATCACATCATACATAGGATAATACAATAAATTCTCAGTACTTGACAACTATCCCCTAATGCAATCTAAGCTAGTGCTGTTTCATATTTCAGTATGTAACATCTGTCAACAATGTTGTTAACCACTAATTGCTCTTATTCATCTCAGAAACATGCCTTGATTGCTAATTGAGGCCAGATAAATATTTTAGTTTATTGAAATTGCTTTGCTGCCCATTGAGATAAAGAGGAAAAAAATTCAAAAGAAGCTGAAGGGAAGAAAATTAAAGAAATTAATTATTGGATGATGATAATCCCGTCAGAGATTGAAATTATTATATGGCCTGAATGGTTAATAAAATAGTAGCCCAATATTATTTTTAATAGGAAGTATGAGTGAACAAGTTCAGTTTCATACAACCCCAGATCTCAAGAAACAGGCCCAGTTTTTCACATTCCTAAAGTTTTTTCAAAGTTTTTGAAGTGCTCTTCATTAGTAGATATCAAGACTTTCCATAATGGAAGTAAATATAATTTTTATTAAATTACAGATGAGAAAACTAAACCACCAATGGAGAAATTAGCTGCACAATGTCTCCAAGTAGTTGAATACCCAAGTCTATAATACAGCATTGCATTTCTGAATCTAGCACTAGTTCACCAAGCCAAGATAAATCCTCTTCAACAAAAGAACCTGAAAAATACTTTAAAAAACCTCATTTTACCCCTTCTGCTAAAAAGAATTATGTTTGGATAAAATGAGATGAAGTGGTTTGCATGTCAGACCAAAAATTAAGAAAAGGATTAGAATTAGAATGCAAGCCCTCTGTAACAGCCTGTGAAAGCAATGCCCAAGGAATACAACTAAAAACTGATTTCTGTAGCTGTGGGGCAGAAAATTCACTTTAGAAAAAAAGTCCTACTTCCTTCAGGAGAGATTTTTCCCATGTCTCCATTGTTCAGTGCCTCCACCCTTTTCCTCTGTGTGTGTATTCATCACTGAACTGCCCTTGCCTAATGCTGATGCATTATGGATTCCAAATCAAGAATATTCTGTAAACATCACAAGTTATTCAGAAAATTAGAGCCAAAATAATTCTTATAGTTTGTTTTCACATGCAAACCCAGCTGGTATCACAGCAGGGAGGTTGATGAGTCTGTTCATTCTGTATTCCCCATAATGCAGGCTCTTGCCAAGAACCAGGGGCACAAAACAGGAAATTACATATGAATACTCGGTCTTCATAATTCTGTCTTCCTGTATAAGTCTTGTCTTTGCCACAACATTTTCAATTTAATGTGTATATGTATATTTACTTGTGAAAAAAAAGAGAAGTATTTACATTAAAAAATACTTCATAAAAATAATTAAGGATCAAATCTTTAATCTCATCTAAGTACTTTGCCTGAACCTGCTATGGCCTACGTGGGATTTCTCAGTGGCACAACAGCACCATTCTTTGCTCAAGGAAATAATGAGATGGCTAAACCAGGGATAGTGAGAATGGGACAGAGTGAAGGGAGCATTTCACAGGAAAAGAGCAATAAACCAGACTTCTGTGAACCTGGTCATCATATCAACACTTTCAGAAATAACATGCAAAAGTTATAGTAATGATTTCAATTATTGTTTCACCCTTGTACTCAGGGTGATTATGTCTAAAATCCTAGATTCTGTTCTTGAAACATGCATCAAAATCTCACTTTCTGGTCTCTTAAAAGAAATTACAACAGAGTTCCCAAACATTGAATGATGTTACGTTAAAAATCTTGTGATATCTATAAATCAGGTAATATTTTCAGAGCCAAATCATTAGTTTTAAAAGAATAGCAGAACGTGAACAGAACAATTTTCAGCAAATTTTTTTATTTCCTGCCTGAAGGGGGCCTACAAAGAAGCTGGAGAGGGACTTTTGACAAGGGGGTGTAATGACAGGATGAGGGGGAATGGTTTGTGGGCACATTTAGACTGGATATTAGAAATAAATTCTTTCCTGTGAGGGTGGTGAGGCACTGGCACACATTATCCAGAGAAACTGTGGATGCCCCATCCCTGGAAGTGTTCAAGGTCAGGTTGAAAGGCAACCTGGTCTCGTGGAAGGTGCTCATGACAGGGAGGTTGGAACTAGATGATCTTTAAGGTCTCTTCCAACCCAAACCATTCTGTGATTCTATGAAATATATGATATTAATGTGTACTACTTTTGTGGAGTGATTTGTTCTACCAAGGCAACAAGTATGGTGTTGAAAGACAAAATAGGAATCACAGTTTCATGACTCTGTCTGAGCAAGAGATGCAATTAAGGTCTTCGGTGTGACCTTCCCTTTGTGTCAAATTGTGCTAAAATGAATGTGACAGTTTTTCTTATGGAAACCTCCAGGTATTGATGATTAAAGAGAAGCTGTCAAAATAATTTATTTAGGTTCACAGGCAGAATTCACAACTCACATAAAGTGCCAAAAAGCAATATCTAGTTTATCCATTAGGCTACTTGGTCTCATACAATTATTTCACTGTATTGATAAGCATCTTTTGACTACAAAAACTTTTAGTTTTCACTACTGACTTTAAAGGGCCAGTGTTCCCCTTTTCTGAGAAAAGTAGTATTATAATTTTTAAAGTATGTTGACATGTATCATCTCATTTTGCTTTCAATATAATTACTACTAAAATCCCCATAAAAAAGCCCAGAAAAGAGGAACCTTTGTAAGTTTTCACCTAAGATACCATGTTTCACTGTTCTACACTGGGCCTGATGCAGTCTAATCAAACATCACCCTTTATATTGAAGTTCCATTTTCAGGACTTGTCTACCTAAAAGAATTCATAAAGTGACGTGGTTTAAGAAGTCTGATCTTTAAAGTTTTTTATTTTATTGTACTAAAAATAGTTTGAAATCCAAACTACAAAACTGCTAAAACAACAAAAAAAGTTTGCAGGAAATATGGTTCAGCATGTTACAAACTTTATAGGCTTTTGTTTTTATTTATTGCATTTGCTTACCTGTAAAATGTAGCCTGTTGATGCAGACTATGAAGCACATTTGAGAACATTACTATTTATGTTGAGGCAGATGTCTTGGGCAAATTCAATAATGCTAAAATAAAAACATTGCATACTTTAGCTACCACATTTACTACATTAAAATAGGCATTTACTATATTAAAATAGGCACCAAATATATACTTAAATCTCTTAGCATCCTTTCAACTCCCTGGAGATTTCAATGCAATTTTTAAAGAAAAAATTGAAAAGCACCAGGCAAACAAATTTAGGAAGACACGATTTTAGAGAGCTTTTTTTAATATAATGATGTCTCATGATTTTATTTGCAGCCCTAGATGTGACTGTGACTAAGTATTTCAGCAGTTCAGATGAGCTCCCGTGTGGACTTTACTGTCAGTTCGCCTTGACCCCTCACTGAGGGGGCAGACCCGAGTTTCTCTGTGACCGACCTTGGAACCAAGAAGAAGACTGCTGAACTGACATCACACTTCACTTTTTATTCACTATAGTTTATATTTCAAACAGAAATGCCTGAACTTACAAAACTCGCATCCTCGACGACGCACCATGAAGTGCCCGGCTCTGTGGGCATCGACACCCAGCTGGTTCCCACACCTGTGGGAAATCACGCTTTCCCCGCCTCCCCAGAGCGGAAATACCCTTTTCACCGTACTTAAGGTAAGGGCAGACAGGTGTTAAGTTTTCCTGCGCCTCATGACCCGGCGCGGGTGTCTTTAAGGAGCAGCTGAGCCCTCGGGGGTTCGTCCCGCCGGGTCCGGAGTGCCGTGATGGGCAGCCCGGGTGAGCAGTGAGCCTGCAGCCCCGCAGTTCCCAGGTACCTCTCCTCCAGCCCTCACCATTTCGGAGCAGGGAGCGGCCCCCAGAGCCCGTTCGCTGCCCGGGCTGAGGGCGGCGGTGGCGGGGACAGCGAGCTGCCGCCGGCCCGCGCCGCCCTCGCTGGGTGTTGCCGCTCCCGAGTGGGATAAAACCCGTCCCGGCTCCCTCCCCTTGTCCTCGGCCGGTCCTGCCCCCCCCCCCGCGCGGTGCCCGGGAGCCGCTGCAGGTAAGGCAGGGGCTGCTCCCCTCAGCCCCCTTCTCCCCCGGGCTCCAGCCCGGCCCTCGCTCCCTGTCCTGTCCCTCGGTCCCTGTCCTGTCCCTCGGTCCCTGTCCTGTCCCTCGGTCCCTGTCCTGTCCCTCGGTCCCTGTCCTGTCCCTCGGTCCCTGTCCTGTCCCTCGCTCCCTGTCCTGTCCCTCGCTCCCTGTCCTGTCCCGTGCGGCCTCCCTCGGGGTTGGGGGTGGGTTTCGCCGTGGCCAAGAGCGGTGACACTGGGTTCCACGGAGCTCTTCGGTGGGTCCGAAGCCTTTTCTGGGTGGTGCGGCGTTTGTTCTTTCTTTCTTGGGCAAATTTCACCCAAGTTTCTGGGAGGTTCTGTTGTCCTCTGCATGTTTAGCATCAACTACGTAACTTCGTTGTGTTTTAACTCTGATGATAAGTGTCTGTAAGTTCTGTTTCCAAGGTAGTCTAGTGAAGTGTATGTGTTCCATCAATTGTCTTCAAGTATATCTATTCACTGGATTTTTTTGGAGAAAAACCATTAATGTGGAGGCACAGGCTCCTTGAAATGGAAAAATGCTTTTGTGCTATTTTAGTGATTTCTTATCAAATAAATGCAAAGCTTTAGAGTAGAAACAATTTTATTATTTTTTTACAGCAGTTCTATTTACTCTTGAAAATAGTTTTGCTTGGAGGTTTTTCTTGAGACTTGCTCAACTGTGAAATTAATTAGGATGGCTCACTTAGAGACTTGTGTTTCTGTCGTGATTCCTTTCCTAGTCACTGCTGGGAACTGTAGTAGTGTTTTCTTAATATATCATGAAACTTTAGTACATCAGTGATGCCCATAGTATAGAACTATGGGTTTTCTGGGATTACTCATTGCAAAAATGGCTGTTGTGGTGAGGTAGTTCTGCTCAAGAGGTTTGTGTCAGTAGGATTGATTACATGACAAAATCAGGTTTTTCTCATTAAAAAATTTTCAGTGTTAGAATTAGAAGTTCACTGCAATGAAAACTGCAATCCATGCATTGCAATACATTGGATCAGTTTTGGACTTTGATCCTGCTTCATAATAAACAGAGTCTTTTTACTTGAGCAGGTTTGACTGTACATATAATAAATCATTTGGAGTTGTTTACAGCAAACAGCTGCATGCCCCATAGCAAAGAACACTGTAGAGAGATGTTCAGTAATTGAGAGTATTCTAATAGTGAAATGGAAAAATAAGCAGTTCTTCTCGTCAGAGTTTGGAAATCTTCATTATGATGCAATTGATTACCACAGTGATTAATGATTATTACATCACAATCCAAAAAACAAAGGCAGATGATATATTTTGTTTTATTTCCAGCATCTGATTCTAGTTTTGTTTGTTATTTAAACATCCCAGAGTACAATGTAGCTGAACCAAAAACATTACCTCTTTCTGATCAACGGGGTTTTTTGTCTTAAATGAGTTCAAGGTCACTTAAGGAAGACAAAATTAGTGATTTAAAGCTTTGATTCATATTCGCTGCCTCTGTTTGATATTCTTGTAAATTTGTTTTTAAGTTTTATGTGTCTTTCCTAGATCGTATATTTTCTGTGTTAAAGCAGAGTAAATAAGACTGAATTCTGTTATGGCTGGTTTGTTACAGAATGTGATGGTTCATGAAAATGAAAGTCTGTTAAAACTCTTGTCACTTGCAAGTGAGTTTTGCTTACAGCTATGGGAAGTCTTGGCAGAGATTTCAAGTTTACAACTCTCTACGCTTTCCAAGTTATATAGACCATAAACTTCAAGTGGGTACTACCTTACTAGGCCCTTGGATTCATGTGGAATTATGTTGGCATCATCGACTCTTTCAAGGACATAAATGTCTCTGCTCAAAAGAAAATTTATAATTGAGAAAATGAAGGGAGCTGTCCCTTTATTGGCATGAGGAAGGAGCACTTCCTCACATGGGGAACTGTTACTTTCAATAAAGATGGGGATGACTGAATGTATATAAAACTAAGGGCGAGATCTGTCTTTAAGTAAGATGCAAGTTCATAGAAATCTTACATTCTGCAGAAATTGATGGCTCTTTCTGTCACATGTCTTTTCCTATGAGAATTGATGGGTGAATGTCCTAAAACCTGATTAAAACTCTGCTGCAGCAAAGCATTTCACCATTTGGATGTGAGTAACTCCACTGAAGATGACTTAAGTGATACTTCTTCTGTGCTTAAGGCTTTGAAAGGGGCAAATAACTCACATTAGTAGTTCTGCACAGTGCCTAAGCAATGTATCATTTCTTGTAGATGACTATTCTTGTAGCTGATAGGACATTCAGACACTTCTTCAAAGAAGACAGCTTTTATAGCTCCACACACCCTTGTATAATGTATTTCTTTTTACAAACAAACTTGGTTTATATCCTTAATATATGTGATTTAAAACCACCTTTGTTAGCTCACATGCATTAATTGTTGTCTAATGTGTTTAAACAGCTACTATATAATTGATTATTGTTGAAGCCTTTAATGACATTCAGAGAGTGGAAATTCATATTTTTGAACACATTTTTAATTTATCTACTTGACAAAAGAGCATGTTGAGAGACTTTTCTAGGGACCTTAATATAATGTAACAGTTCATGGGGTAAAACAGTAACTTCAAGGAAGTGTAGATTATTTTACTATGCCATATGACAGTAAGAAAAGCACAAGTGTTCTGAGTTGCTGATGTTTTCACTGCCCCATTTTCCAGCTTAGGTGCAACATAAACTATTTTAATTAATATTGTGTCACCAAAAGGTTTTGAGATGGCCAATTGAATTCTGCCAAGATAGAGTCTTTTGATGAAAACATATCTTTATTGATTGTAGAAGAAGAAAATCATTCTTAAAATGAAATCCAGAGAAAAAATCATATCCCTCAGAGAAAATTTCTGAGTGGCAGGTTGAGATTAACATCATAAAATTGAATTTGTGCTGCAAACCTTTGATGTAATCAGCAGCTGGGAGATGGTGTTGCCCTTACTGTGCTCCTTCTGATTGTGGTGAATTATTGTGTGGAATGAAATAAGTGTTTCTTGTGTCACTCGTTCAAGAAATACAAACAAGGTATTACTAGGTGGCTCTTGCTGGTTAAAATGGGTTGTATCGATTCCTGGTCCCGGTCTCTCCTCCCTTGGACTGCAGAAGCAGGACGTTCCCATCCCGGGAGAGGCCCGGGTGTCACTCAGCGCTGACTGCGGCTGATTAGGGTGGAGCCCGACAGGCCTGCAGGGGAGGCCCATCACATCCTAAATTGGAAGTGCAGGGGCTGCAGGGTGGCACCTGGAGCAGAAAGCAAAGTAGAGGGAAAGGTGTGGAATACTGAGGGCTCTGGTGGGATATACTAAGACACGAGAAATCGGGACGTAGGCTAGAAATGTTGATCATTAGAGTATTTTACTTGTTGCCCCACCTGATTAGATATATCAATTAAATATTTGAAATACAGAAATATTTTTTTGCTGCTGGGGCAACAGGGAGCAGACTCCACCTCTTAAAGGAGCCAGTTATTAGTTTACTTGTACAATGTGCTGATTGTGAACTAGTTTTTAATTTTCTTTAAGTCTTTCATTGCTTTACTTTTTGCTAAAAATTACTTCAAGTATCTTTTGTTACCTTTATCTTGTCTTGCTGTGTTTAGTGTAATTTATTTGGCCATTCCCTTTCTGTACTTCAGATACTTTTACCAAAAATCTTGTAAATGTAATATTATTATTGATTCTTAGATGGACTTGCTATACATTATGGGTAGTTGGTAAATACAGTTTTTTAGTTTGGGAAATGTTATCTTTGCTAGTTACCAGAGATAATATGCAACATCCTTAAGGAGAGTGCAACATTTCTATCATAAAGTAAATTGACAATGTTCTGAAAGCAATATAGAACAAATCAGTAGACTGCAAAGCTGTTTTTAAAAGAAATAATTAGATTTTTACTAGGAGTAAAACCAATATTGATGAAATTTTATTTTCTTGTGTAGATAGTAAGAGAATATGTCAGATAAAACAAAAGACTAGACAGGAATCAGAGAATGAGAGAGATTAGTAACACACAAACCTTAGAAATTTGTCATGAAAACCTACTGGGCTCTGCCTAGATTTTACTTCCTAATGCTTCCTTTACTACAGTGATGAATCTAAAGGGTTGTAAATAGAGGGAATTTATTTAATCCAATACAAACAGTTAAATTCTGCTAATATCTTAATATTTTCAGGACTGTGAGCAAATTTTTGCAGGTTTGGGGATTTTTCTTGTGCCTGCATTGATTGCCAAACATTTAACTGAACTTCAAAAAAACTGCCCTTATATTGACAGTTTGGAATGCACAAGAAACATGAAATAAGTATGACTACAAATTCAGAAAAGGTTTTTTGACAGGTTGACTGTTACCTGTAAAGTGATATTTTGTTGTATGAAGTCTTTTCTTTTATAGATGAGCCACGAATTTGTATTTGGTACTTTTTGTTACGGGTTGTAGTGTTGAGAAGGAAGGTTCTTTCACAACCAGTGTTTTATGATGTGAAATGTTTGAGATTAATTCTCTAGGTGGGAGCTCAGTTCCTAATTTTAAGGACCTTGATATATATGAATTGTTATTTCTGAATTCATTGAAATACGTGCCCCAATTTGTTTCTTTATTAAGAGATGTGATTCTGAAACTATAGTTAGTAGTTCAGTAGTGTTCAGAATGCTTCCTCCAGTAAAACTTCCTTTATGTTCCTACAGAAATCTTCCTTTATGTTTATGAGCAAACATTGCATGGAAATGCAAGGAGCAATAGGGAATGTGTTCTGCAAACTTCAGTGGGGGCAAAGCAGAATCCAGATTTCTCACTTCAAATCACTGAGAGCCTGTGTGGCCACACTCCTGAGATATCAGCCACTCTAACCTACGTGTTCCCAAGCCACTTGCTTTAGGGTTATATTTTTTTATCTGGAGAAAATCTAGCACAGGGAAGGGCTGAGAGGTAGAGCAGTGATTATGTGGCAGATTGGAAGGTCTGGGATGAGCCTCATGGAGAAGCTGGTAATTTTTCCCTTTGGTTTTAAGGTCAGTAGAGGAGCAGAGCCAAGATATGCTCACAATACTGGAGTTAGGGTTCTGTGGGGAAGGCTTAAATTATGATGGCACTGTTTCATTATGGTATAATCTGACCTTTTTCATTCTCCTCAGTTAGTGACCAGTCCCAGACAAAAAAGCTGAGTGATGAGGAAAAGACCTTGCATTAATATGTGCTTAGTAAGGCATTCAAGGTCAGACCTCCAGCTTTCTGACCCCTTAAAACTTTTGATTAGACTTTTAAGTACCTCATGGCTCCTGTAGAATAAAGAGTGGTGTACTTAGCTTTCCAAATTAAACTTTAATACTACACAAAGTTGCTAAAGTAGTACAACCAAAGTCCTTGAAGCTGTGCAAATTGGGATAATTTCCCAAGTTAACAGAGGTTTGTGGTGTGGTTTTGGTGTGAGAAATGTTCATAGAACTAGAGGCAGGATGGTAAGGATGTAACAAGTTAGTGGTGAGATGAGCTGGTGTGTTTAACTAAAAACAGGGAACTTTTCAGTAATGAGAGCAGACCTTTTGGCAGCGTAGTCATAGGGGCAGGACAAATAAGCTTATTAGGCTGTAAGCAGGGAGAAACAGGACTAGGACTGAGAAACATGATTTCAAGTTGAATTAGGGGTTAATACTGCAAATCAGACATGCTTGAGTGGGCAGAGCTGTGGGAATTTGACACGTGCTGATAAGCTCCATGCAGCTCAGATATGCCTTGGGCAATATTTGACTTTGTGGAAACAATTTTTACCTTTTTTAAAGGAACAGTCTGATAAATATCTGACTTTATTTCAAAGAAGTTTGCTACAGGTGCCATCAGCATCACTAACACATTTGATAAAGCTGAGTATTGTCACACAAAATGTGTGTGTGGGAATATGCTGCATTTCTGGTGAAGTCATGGTACACTTAGAAGCAAAGGTTTCACATCAAACTACTTGTGCACCAAAATATCTTAATCCGAAAGAAAAGTTAACCAAGAAGCAAGGGGGAGGGGGAAGTTAAGGATTGTTCTATTAACATGAAAATTCAAATACCTTCTGCTTTCTTTCTCTTGTACTTCAGTCATAATGTAAAGGAAAATGTACTAAATATTCTCATAACATTTCAGTCTAAATTAGTTATCTTATAACCAGTGTTTTGTCTGTAGTGGTAGTTTTTCATTAATTCATCTCACTCATGGGTAATTAAAAGTTTTGCAAATAGATCTATCTATACATTAGTTAATTCTATCAATTTTTTTGTTTTTAACTTGTTGATTTGAGTTCTGTTACCTGTCAGTTGCTCAGCAGTAGGTCTTCTGCTAAGAATATTGATCTCGATTCTATGCTTCCTTTACAAGAAAATATAATTTATGACTTAATACAGGAAAGGTGTGCTGGATGCTGTTGTGTACTCCAGTCAATAATTTGCAAGTTTTGAAACAGGTGGCTTGTATGTATGGGAATTTTTGGGTTTGGGCTAAGGTAGACCCTGGCAGTTTAGTGTAGGGCTCTTTCATTTAAAGATGCTAAAGACATTGTTCATCTGTGTCAGTTTTTTTTAGCAATCAGTACTTTCACTTAAATTGACCCAAAGGAGGCATACTTGCTGCATATGTTACTAGTTTCTACAGAATCCAGCTAAAAAGCAGAAGTGCTTTTAAAAGGAACAGACATCAAATTTAAAAACAAGCAAAGTAGAACGTTTTGATAAGAAGATTTTTGGAATACTTTGCAGGTACTGGTGTTTGCATAGACATTGAAAGAGTTTCCTGGAAATGCAGTTCTTAAGAATGTGTACTGAATTAACTAATGGCCATCAGTCATTTTGGACAATTCCATTAAATTAGTTTTATGCAGCGGGGGCAAATCTGTTAGATGATACATTTTTTTTTTTTTTTGGACAAGGGACTCATGACTTGGGCAACAGGAAGAGTCTCTTCATTCTCCCTGTTCCCCAGCTTGCAACTCTGCCTCCACCTTTCTTCTGGTTCTTGTCTCTAGGAGATGGCACAGAATGATTGAGCATATAGTGCTTTGCTGTCTCAGGCCTCATTTTTCTCTTCCTCCCTGACCCACCACCAGTTCTATCCTTCCAGCCCTGTTATTTTTCTCTTGCCTTGTCCTTCCAGCGATCACAGACTATTGACACCCCATTCCTGTGCCATCTCTGTGCTCCAGCAGTCAAGTGCTGCTGAGGATGAGCAGCACTGTTGCTTGGAGGGAATAGGGGAGCTGTGGTGTACTCATGGTGTACCAAAATCAGGAAGAAACAGTCACACAGGCCCAGCAGAGCTAAACCAGCTCTGGGTGGTTTGAGGCAGCACACAGCTCCCATTGCTGATATTTCAGTATTGTGGTAGTACCTGTCCCCAAAAGTGTCAGTGTTGGCAACACAAATAAAAGGTTTCAGTGCCTCATCAACTCCTTATAGCAACATTTTATAGCTTCCCTTTTCAGATGTTGATTATACATTGCCCTATTTTTGGGTTACATTTCTCTTGCATTTCATGTTGCTTGGGATCATCGTGACTTGTTTCTCTTTCCAGGTGCTGACTATGAAGACATCAGTTCCAGCTGTGGCTGTGTGGGGCAGAAGAGCTCCCTCCCACAGCATCACTGCCATTCTGATCACAGATGACCAGCAGACCATAGTTACAGGAAGTCAAGAAGGACAAATATGTCTCTGGGATCTTTCACCAGACCTAAAGGTTTATGTCCACTGTGCTACAGTTTGCCAAATAGACAGACTGGAGTTTTATCTTTTATTATTGATGATGGGATTATCTAGACTGTCACTTATTCAGATTAATTTTTAAAGATAGAGTGGTATTTGTTATAGGAAACTCATGAAGCAAAAAGTGAAATGCCTATATAAGCAACCTGTTATTTGCAGGGTTGGGAAAATTTTTGATAAATTAGCGTGACCTGTGGATTATAATTTGAGACTCTGTGCTCTGAGTAATGGCAGCAAGTAAATATATACAATCATCATGATTTCTATCTTGTGAAGTCTTTTTTCCCTTTTGTAAATCAATTGCTGAGCATGGCCTGTCATTTAAGGAAAAAATCTATTTATAAAACCACAGGTATCTGCCAGGTTAACAGCAGAAAAAGTCAAGAAAGATGGAAGATAAAATATGTATTTTGAGTATATTTAAAATGCAAATTATTGCTTTGATTATTTCATTTTTTTTCCTGAGAATGTAACAGAGTCAAAACAGTTCCTATTGTTTTTATTCTGTGTTTCTAATATTTTTTATACTTAGTTGCTTCATTTGTACTCAAATATAGCCTAAAAGGTTGCATTTTTATGGGGCTACCTTTTTTAATTAAGACCTTTTCATGCAGTGAAGCTAATCAGAGAGATTATTTAAACATGTGGTATGAAACACATCCTTGAGAGCTTTGCTCTATCAGTTCCTACTTCTGATGCTGTAGGGTAAAGGCCAGAGGTGTTCTGCACATTGCCTGTTTTATGACATTTGATGCTCCATGTATTCTTCAGAAGCTGCAATTTTCAGACTGTACTTTATGCAAACTGCATAATTCATCCACATCTTTGTGCATTCCAGAAACATGGCTGAAGAACATAAGCATACAAAGCAGGTTGACAATTACTTGTTAATATCTACAAGTACTGTTCTGTTGGGTTTAGATATCCTTAGTTTGTGTGGAAATTATTATGTTTGAGTTAAACCATTGTATTACTCTCCTAGGTTTCATCTAAAGAAATTCTCTTTGGCCATACTGCTTCTGTAACTTGTTTGGCAAAAGCAAGAGAGTTTGAAAAACAACCATATGTAGTAAGTGCTACTGAAAATGGGTAGGTAACTGAATATTCAATTATTCATTTCTTAAGTCATGAAATGTATGTCAGGTGTAGGTCAGATTATACATTTGCAGAAGTGTTTGAATCCAATTTCGTGATATGAAAATGATAGCAGCTACTTAGGGTAGTTACTGTATTGCTCATGTACAATAGTTTAAGAGATCACCTCATGGACAATAGAAAGGTTTGGCAGATTCAGATACCCAGCCAGGCCCATTCAAAGGGAGACTAATGGGCTATTGGGGGGCATCAGCAAGTTCAGAAGCATTTTAATGTCATGGTGCTTTTCTCTGTTTCCTCCTGAACTCATCTTGAGAACTGAAGCAGTAAAAGAAACTGATGGGCTCTGATCTGGTTTATGGTTCCTCTGTCAGTACCTGTGGAAGGACAGAAAAGACTGCCCTTGAGTAAAAGGCATATATGGTCCCTGTCTGTCTTTAAATCTGACATGCTGTTTTGGGGTATATCCTGATCTTGCAGCTTTTCTCTTATGTGTTTGTTGTGACATGGCCCATCACTTGAGTCAAACTAATTTCTGCAGTTCTGCTAGGTTAGCATTCAAGAATTTTTTCTCTCTGAATATTTGATAATCTTTTCAGCTGGGGTTTGAGGCCCATCTGTTCAGGATTTCAGCTGCTGAAGGTAGTTAGGGATAGCTGCTTACTTCCATAAGGGCTCTCCTAAACAATTCTGTCTCACTGCTTAATTATATTCTCCTCTCATTTTGGGTTCATCTTTTCCAATTAACAGGGCAGCTTTGTTGTCACCTCTTTGCATGAAGAGTTCCTGTCAATTGTCCTTCTTCAAGCTACAGCTTGTAGCACCTTAAGGCTACTACTTTCTCACTGAGGAGCTTATTTATCCTTTCCAGCTGCTGGGATCTCTGTTGGATTCTCTCATTCATGAGTACTTTAAGGAGCCTGAAACAGTTTTTTTCATCTGGAAAGGTTAGACTGTCTCACTAGACAGGTAGTGGTAAAGAGTTCTGGTTATGTACAGAAAGGAGGGTGAGAAGTCTACAGAACTAGTTTTGTTCTACAATTTTGTTTCTCTTACAGTTCTACTCAAGGGTTTTGAGATGGAGCTGGTTTTCATCTCAGTTCTGAAGTTCTCTTAGCACAGTACTGTTTCCAGATCATATAGGGAACAAAGATACTGTATTTAAAAAAAAACTGGTGTGGAAAGTGTTAAGAAACAAATGAGGATTTTGCTATGGATATACCATAGAGATATTCTCATCCTAAAGATTCTGCCTCTGAAGGGAGTCATTGAACCTCTTTGGAACATGTGTAGGTAGGATTGAATTGTCTTCTGGCCCCTTTAAATGTTCACTTCTACCAAATTACTGCTGACTTCTCATCTGTGTTACGTAAAGGCAGAGCATCCATCACTAATCCCTGGAAGGTCACAACATGAAGTTGAGATAATTACAAATAGGAAACCTCATCTTCAGGAGATGGAGCATTTGTCCAACTGCATTTTCTGGCTTGTGAATAATTCACTTCTGCCATTTTCCAGCCTCCATCTCCTTGTAGTGAGGGTGGAAGAAATTGTGTGGAAGATGATTCTATGGTACCCTTCCCTGCACAACTTCAGAATCTTTTAAGAGTTTGTGTACCTGACTAATCCCACAAGAATGAGCATTGAACAGGATTTTTGTACTTTTAACATGGAAGTCTGTCTATAAACTAATGTATAATGATTTGTAAGTGATCATGGATGTCTTGTGTCTGCATATAGCATATGTTGTAGGACAGGTTTATCAATGTGTGATACTACTCACTTCTTGCTAGTACACACAGTAAATTAAGTACAATATGCAGAAGGTGAAGTTCCATTCTGATCTTATTTGTGCATGTTTGCATGTCTGTACCACAGTAATGTAGCTAAAGCAGTGAAACTGTTATTCTGATATAAAGAAGGAGAAATCACTGCCTTGAAATGTTTAACAAACAGCATAAGCATTCTGTTTAAGTTATGGCTGAGTCTACTGGCTCTGATGCTGTGCTACAGATTTATAGGTTTCACTGCTATTGCTCAGCTGAAAAATATCAGTTAAGTAATATTTTTATATTATCATAAAATGTGAAAGTAGGTAGATTAAGATGTAAATCCCTGATTAGTATTTCTGATGTAATAAAATGCTTTCCCCAATGTGTTCTCTAAGTCTTTATACAGAAAATGCCTTACAATGTAATGTCAGAAATCATAAAATGAACGTTTCAACTGTGAAAATAACGCTCGTTGCTTAAATAAAACCTAAAAGCATCAAAGTTTAACATTCGGTTGTTGAACTCTGATAACATACCTCATACAATCTCATTTACAACATTTAATTTGTTTGGGTCTCTTGTACTCCAGTCCCATCTCATGTTGAATAATGTGTAGATAAGGAAAATGGGCTGAAGTGTCTTCCTCAAACATCAACCTTAAACGTAACCGAGTGCGGCTGGGCTGTCGCACAGATATTCGGGCTGGCGAGCATCGGCAGCAGATTTCGGGAGCAGCCTCATGATGGCACTGTTTCTTCTTAACAGAAGTTGTTCCTCTCCAGAAGTGAAGTCTGGCGCGGCAGATGATGCATGATGCCTTTCAAAACGCGTGGTTTAAGTTCAGTGAAATGAATCATTTTCAGGAGGATGTAGTTGCAATGACAGATAGTTCCAGTGACGTGTTGATGAGCTGTAATGGCAGTATACCTACAATTTGTTGCAGACCAGAGTTGGCCTTAAAGCCAGGTTTGTTGCAAGGCAGTAGGGTGTAATTACCAAAAGAAAAAGAAACAGATACTGTATGTCATCCCCTGCTAATGACTACAGCATTTTCTTACCCAGTAATCTGTAACAAAAAGCTTTATAAATGACCAGACTGCACTTAAATACAGCACTAAAGAAAAACTTGGTGGCACAAAATTATTCCAGCCAATTGAGTGGAAATGACAGAGAATAATATGAAGTTATCTTTGGCAGGGAGATGTGTGTTTGGAATGTCACTAGTGGACAGTGCATTGAGAACACAAAGCTTCCTTATAGGCATACAGCAATCCATGTAAGTATAACAACTTTTCCTGGGATATCTCTGTTCATTACAAGAGTTTTGCTGTATTAACGTGATGTTTTTCAGAAACATACAGTTTTAAATGTATAGATCATAACCTAGGAGAAAAAACCCTGTCACAGTATAAGTAATTTTATATCTTTTTCTTTTTTTTTTTTTTCAGTTTTGTCTTTTGTCTAAGAAAAGAATCGAGATTTTTATGTTCCTTTGAATTTCTTAAATCAAACTGATTACTTCTAAGCTGCAAATATTTGGAATGCAGTAGATTAACTTATTGTTTGTGAATCAGGTAGCAAACTGAAATGGTCTTAAACTTTTGTCTTGTGCCTGGAAACTTCAAGTTTAACGTTGGCTCTTTCATGACATATTTTAGAAGCACAAGTAATCTGGCCAAACATTTTAAGACAATCTGCTGAAAGACTTATTTTTAAACTTTTGAAAGGTTTTGATTCTTAACTCCTGACCTCCAAAAGACTGTTCCTCACCCCACTTTCGAAAATACACTTTCATTCATTGCACAGCTTGGGACAGATCCCTTATTTGCAGAGGCCAAATTGCTTTAAATATTACTTCACATAATTTCAGGTGTCTGCTTTGAGCTCTGTGCAGGTACAATAAGTATCTACATTTTGGAACGTAGGATTGTTTGAAATACATTTGTGTGTATGTGATTGAGGGGTGTCTGGATTTGATAGAGAGACACGGCTTATTTCTGTGTGTGTTTGTAGAAGAGCAGCTCAAGGCTCCGAGGTTAATTAAAAGGCTTCCTTTTTCTTCAGTAAGGAAGTCTCCAAATGATGGAAATCTGAGACCTCACGTAACTCCAAACTGTAGCCAAACTTTGAATCCAAAATTTTTAAAGCTTCCAGAAGAAACAGTGTTTTTCCTGACGCTGATTTGGTTGACATGAATAGTTCAAACACTTTTGTTAACTATAAAGGAGAGGAAAAAGCTTGGGTAAATAAGCAACAAAAATTACAGAAGATAAACTTCTTAATTATATATTTTTCTTTGTGTGTGTGTGTGTGTGTATAAAAGCATACACTAAGAAGTTATTCTACATTTTTATTTTTGCAGGGGTTTAAAACATATATATTCTTTACATGAATGTATATACACAAAACCCCCAATATTTAAATTATGATTTAATAGAGGTGCAGTATGACCTGCTTTGTGCTATTGCTTAATTAGTTTTTAATAGTTGAAGTTCTGGATGAGTCCTGCAGGACAGTAGGCAACCCTGGCCTAGCTGATTAGCTGACAATTGGTACATTTTTTTTTGTGGAGATCAGAGGCAGAATATTCATTTTTACCCTTCAAGAAGGAGTACCAAGTACTTTTAGAAAATGGGTCCTTTGCCTCTATTAGAAGTGAGCTAAGCCTAATTGTGACTAGATGATGATTTGTGTTTTAGAATTTGGGTAAAAAAGCTAAAGGAAAATAGAAACTTCTAATGGGAGAACTTCCTTAGGAAAAACAGCAGATGTTGTTAGCAGGTGAAATTTTCTTAAAATGCAACCTTCAGATAGTTATAATAAATTGGGGTTTTTATCGTGTGGGGTTTTTTTTGTGTTTTGTTGTAGGCTTTTTGTTGTTCCATGTGGAATGGTTGCATGTGCTGCAGCAGTACCTGTGAGAATATAATTCCCTACAGAATCTTATTGTCTGGAAGATTTAGTGCACACTGATTTCAGTGGCATCATAATTTGAAATTGTTACTTTATTTTTTGGTTAGGTTTTAATTGAACTACTAACCTACCTATTCTAGTAGGTTCCTTTTGTTCAGGGCAGATGATTCAGCTATGAATGGCAGATGTCAAGTAGTGCAAACTGAATATTTGCCATTTGAAATGAAATTTAACATCAGGGTCATCACTTAACCATTTGTGGATCTTAACCAGTGTGGGATTTTCTCAGAGGAATAACTGACTATACAGATCCCCTAGTTCAAGCCTAATTTAATGGTAACAGTAATTGCAAATTCTAAACATTTCTGCCTCTGATCATTCATAATATCTGTAGCAATATTTATCCTGATCCCAGTTATTTATACTTCTTTTGTTTTCAGACTTCAGTTTGTTAACTGATAAACTAAGAATTATTGTATAAGCAAAACTCTATGGAGAATTTGTTGTAAGTGAGGTACAATTTTGTAGGTCTATTTTTGTCTCACTACGTGAGTGTTCTCTTTATTTTAAGGTTAGCATTTAGATGTAAATTTTATTTGAGGTGGTTACTTACTTGTTTATAGCAATTATGTGTAAAATTACAGATAAATACATACGTAATGCAAGTGTCCTTGCACATACAAAACACATGGCAAAAAAGAACTGTTCATAGTCCCTCTGTACCAGTGTCATCTCTGTTCCTTTGCTGTGTATCTGGTTTTTTTTTCCTTTATGTGGTTGTTGAGAAAGGATGAATCTTCTGAACAATAGGGCATTTAATGTCAAAACAAAGAATATCTCATGGAGTAGAAATCCTTCCTGGAAAATAATCAGAAATTCATTACGAAAAAATTAATAATGAATATTCTGCATTTTCACCTGTTTTTAGTTCTTTGGATGCCTCCCGATAACTGGAGCTTTATGAAGTGTTTGGAGAGAAATGAGGCCTTTCAGAGAAACAAGTCCAAAATTTCTTAGCAATTAATGAGAATTAACACCTTGATTCCTTCCCCAGATTACAAAAATCCTTATATTTATGCAAGGCAGATACTGCTTGAAGTAGGAAGTACCTCTTACTAAGCTGTGTGCCATTCTTGTGTCTGTAACAACACTGTGTATGGTTTCATATATGCCTTAGATTTTTTTTTTTGTAGTAATGCTACAAGTGTTGATTATAAATCCACATATGAAATGCTTAATGTGAGAAATATCCATGCCATTTGTAGCTCTGTGTGCTGACTCTCTGCTTTCCACTTGGCCAGTACTACCATTGCTCATTCCGGATGACAGGTGAAGGTTGGCTGCTTTGTTGTGGAGAATATCAAGATGTTCTTATTATTGATGCCAAGACTTTGGATGTTCTTCACACCTTATCATCATCCCAGTCTTCTGATTGGATAAATTGTATGTGTATTGTACACTCTGCAAGAATTCAAGGTATATGTTTTGAGTGTGTTTATATAGGCAAATTAAATTGTGATAAAATATTTATATATAGTATGATCCTACCTGATTTAAAATCCAATCGTGTTTTACAGAGCAGTTATGTATAAGATTTCAGTGTTTCGTTGATAGCACATGAGGTGTTTTTAATGCTCCTAATGTTGATCATGTTTCATTTAATATATTTTTTAGAGAAAGGCCTCTACACTGGCTATAAGCAGTTCATTTCTTGGATTTAAGCACAAATTAGTTTTGTAATATCAGGGAAATTAAATGCACTAAACCACAGTTCTTTCTATTAACACATCCACTATTTGCTTACATGATTTGTATAATAACCAATTAGTTATCTTTTTTTTTTTTTGTGTAAAACTGATATTTCATCCAAGCAGTGTCCCACAGAATCCATGTTTTAGTGCTGAATAGGCAGGTACTCTGTGCATTGACTTCAAGGTGACTATCTCACTGTTACCTTTTCACAGAAGACTCTTTGGTTGCAGTGTCTGTAACTGGAGTTCTTAAAGTGTGGGACCTGTCATCATCTCTGAATAGCATCCAGGTCAGTTTGAGATGTGAAGCAGCATGAATGTAGTAATATTCTCAAATAAAGCCTACATTGAATAAATTTATGAATAAATTTAAAACTTCTGGAGATGTATTAAACAGATTTAGTTACCTTTGTTAGAAAATTCTGAAAACATGTTCTCATAGTATTATCTAAAATGAGTTGGACCATTGGACAGCTCTTGCCTTGGTAACTGCTCTGTCCTGTGCCCAGGTTTATTGTCTGTATTCATATTCCATGATGCTGAAGTTGCTGTGCTTTCCTGCTGTCCTGATAATGTCTTTGAATCCCTTCACTCTGTCCTTTAAACTTAAAGCTCTTCAATATTGGCCTTTGTACTCCCTCTTCACCCTGGTTTCTTTCTTCAAAATGGTCCTTTAAACTTGGTTTTCCTCTCTCTGCCTTTCACTATGTTGTCTTCACTTGGAGAAGACTCTTGCTGTGTCAAGTGTCCTATTCCTCTCTTCAAACTCATTCTTGTCTGTGCCAATATTCTCAGCAGCTATCACTTGACATGGACAAGTGCTAGAAAAGGAATACAATGTTTTGTGTTTGAATTAAACCCACTGTCATGTTGTAAAAATTCTGGGAATGTTAACAACTGAATACACATCAGAAACATATGGTGTGGTGCCTTCTTTTCACTGCCTGGGGCCACCTTTTGTGAAGGAACTGGTGCAGAGTTAGTGACAATTCACCTGTTTCATAAAGAGCAGTATTTTAATAAATATTGTTGGATTTCTTTGGAATTAATTGCAGCTGCAAGGTGTAGTAAGAAAATGGTTTGCAGTTTTATAACCATGATTCCAAGCATACATATACCCCTTCTCTGAGAGGTGTTGATACTGTTGGTGTCTGATATTCACATAAAAAGTGTGAAAATGCATATATTGTTATTAACAATCTATACATTCAGCAATACAAAGCCAAGAAAATGAATTACTTTTTCACTACTTTTTAAGGGTGCTAAGTTCAAAAAAGACATGGCAACACCAACATCTCAGACTGCCCTGGTTGCAACAAGGATGAGTGGGAAAGTATGATATTCACCCACCTTTCTGAATCTCCTACTGTCAGTTTATAGGTTGTTGTAGCTATTTTTTTTTTTCAATACAGGACACTTTACCAGATACTTATTAGAGCAGATGCTGTTTATGGCCTGTCTTTAGTCCTTCTCCATGTTCATTATCACTTTAAGTGGGATCAAGGTCTAAGCCACTCTGAGTGTCTTCTCTTTGCAGGGTAGTTGTGAACCCTGTTGTCTTTCTATCTCATTTTTAATTAAGAATTATATGCTGCTTTGAATTTTGAAAGTCTGTTAACAGAAAGTTCTTTTCAATGCATTGTTTCCAACCTAAAAGTAAAAGCTCAGCTACCTGGAATAAATCTTATGGCTTTTTTTCCTCTGTGCTGTAAAGGAGAGACAAAGTGTGTGTGAGAAGGAATCAAAATCTCTGGACTGTGTAAGTTGTCAAGCAGTTCGATTTTGTACTTACACAGAAAGGCTCCTTCTAGTTGTGTCCTCCATGTGCTGGCAGGTATGTTATTGAGCATTATACTTTCTCTTTAATTTTGTTAATAATTTTGAAAAGCTAGTAGGTTTTTTACATGAAGATACTCGTTTTTCTCCTTAACTTAGTGTTCACCAGTTGTCAGATATAACAATGCCTGTAACCCTTCTCTGCTTATCTGAACTGCCTGAATGAGAGGAAGCTTTTACTTTTTATCAATGTGTTTCTGCTTTAGAAGTTTAACACTAAATTGGCTGCATAGAAAGGGGATTACTGTAAGTATTAGGCAGTTTTAGAGTTCTGGGTGCATTATAGTCCCCTCCACAGGGAGACAAATATGAAAAACCCTGTTTAAGTATGACAGAAGTGATCTCAGCTGGCAAGTCCTTGGTAACCAGGGACCTTTGTTTGTTGATAGAAGCCAGCAAAACTAAAGACCCTACACTATAGTGCTTTTTCTTGTAGCTGTAAGAAAATAACTAACATTTAAAATAAGCTAATAACAGTCGCAGACAATACACATTTAGATGCATTTAAACTGAGGTTTATTGTCAAAATTCCGTGTTTGTCTTTCCCAGTGTTACGAAATTTCTTTTAAGCCTGAGTGGTCAGTTCAACATATGTAACTAATTCAAGCACCACTGCTGAGATTGGGTAGGGCAAAAATTTCACATACAACTTTGAATAATGTAGTTGTAGGCTACCCTGGAGATGTCTCTTGGGCTACTTAAATGCTGTACAAAAGCACTTATAGGGAAATTTCATGTATAGAATGGATAGGCTTTTCATGGAAAAATATCTGTAATGTGCATTGTTTTCTATTAGTCTCTATAATGTTTTTCCACAAGAGATGCATGTGTTTTGTAATATCTCCATTTGCATAAGTCATTTTTGATTTTCAACGTCTATGTTTCAATGAATGTAAGGAGTAATATCATGATCATATTTTAAATAGGAAGTTGTGTGTGGCAGGTAGCATAGGAGAAATGCAGATGTGTGTTCAGAGTGGCTCATTAAACCACTCCTATAATAATGAAAATATAGAGGATATTAGCTAATGAATAGAAATTACCTATTAATAATTCATAGAAATTCTCATTCTGAGATCTATTTCCTTGCACTGCTGGAAGAAATTATAAGAATGTGACTATGAATATTCTCTCCGTGAAGCCATAAGAGCACAAACAAGAAGATAATATTATAGGTTGTTCCTGTTATATCATGTCTTGGCTTAAAATGGGAAGGTCATAGGAAGCAAACAAATCAATTTTTTACCAGATCTAGAAACAAAAAAAGGAATTCTTGCAAGGGGAATTACATGTTCTTTACTTTCAATTAATTTGCAAAAAAAAAAACCCCAAACCACAAAAACCAAAACCCCCCACAAACAAAAAAACCCCATGTGTCTTGCTCCCCAAAGAAGAAAAGAAAAAATTACATTGCTAAGATCTATGCTGTGATTATGCCAGCAGATAATCTTTTCAAGAGTCAGGCAGAAGCATTTATACCTTCTGTTGAAGTCTTGAATGTCATATTTATGTTCTAAATTCATTATCTACCTCTTTATAAGAAATTACTGGTCCATTAAATATTAATAACGAGAGCAATGCAAAACCAAAGTAAATCCCATCCAAAATCCCCTAATCTAACATAAGACCCTAATGCTACTTTTTTTTTTTTTTTTTTTAATTGTCAGTTTCTTTAACTTTGAAATGTATGGTTTGGTTCTGACTTTGCAGTAGCTTTAGTATCAAAACTGCTTTGGCTTTAAAATAATCAGTCCAGCTACAAAGAGTCAAGCTCACGTTGCACATTGCCCCAAACCAGTTTAAATGGAAATGAATGTGCCAATACAGTTTGTTTATATTTTGTTTCTGAGCTTAGGTCTATGACTATTGTGATTTCTCCTTGCTTTGTACTGAGCTCTGTAAAAGTGGTCAGTGCTTTGCTGGTGGGGAAGTGCTGGCAGCTTACAGACTGATCATCTGGACAGAAGATGGCCACAGTTACATCTACCAGCTGCTGAACAGGTGGGCTCAGATGGGAAATTCACACAAAAAGTTCAGGTACAAGATGAACTTTGGGAGGGTTACTATGGAAAATCTCTGCGTGTTGCAAATGATCAAAAACCAGAACAAAACCCCTTTGGCACTCAAAGATTTACCCGGAGTTTGACAGCCCTCAGTCTTTGTTTGCCACAGCAGGGGAGGCAGGAATAAGATTAGCCATGTAGAACTTGGGCAGCTGGTGCTGTGATTTCAAAAAGTCGCTTGTAATTACTGATTTGGTAACTTTTAATTGAACTTGTGAGTCTTGGACGTTGCTGTTCTGCTTTCTAAAACAAGATGACTTCCTAAAGCTTGTATTTTTATTTTATTTTTTTTTTAATTATGCAGTGGGCTTTCTAAAAGCATATATCCTGCTGATGGGAAGGTGCTGAAAGAAACTGTTTATCCTCATTTACTCTGCTTTACTAGTATGAAGGAAAATAAGGTAAATTCATGAAGGTTTGCAGTGAGCTTTGAAAGTTGATTTATTGTCTGTTTGCAGTTACATGAATAATCCCTAAAAAATTGATGGATTCATTAACAGATTTAATTGTTCTATGAAAACAATGATTAACACTTCATTTTAAAATCTTTACTTACACTTTAAGCATCTTCAAGTTTGTATTTTGTCTTGGATTCTGGCCATATCTATTTTTTTTCACAGGGAAAAAACTGCCTTTGTCTTCAACTATAGGTAGGATAACTGTTGAAATGGTTGATGTTTCTTTTTCTAACTTTGGCAAAAGAGCTTTTTTTTTTAAGGTAAAGATGTGCTCTGTTTTAGAGCTTTAGCAACTTCTACTTTCAAATCCATAAAAAAAGAAAAAGTATAAAAAATAATAAATAAATAAAAAACCCCAAATAACAAAAAACCCCTCCATAAAATCAAAAGAGCCAACCCACAAGCAAAATGTAAGCAAATTACTCAGTTCTTGTCTTATTAGGAAATATATGCATGTTCTACATGCAACATATGTTGCTTCCCCTGTGTATCCATCCTAAACTGAAGGGGTTTGGATAAAATCTGTGGCATTTTATCCAGAATAAACTGTTGTCCTGAGCCTTCAGAGGCATAATGGCATTCCAGACTTCCCTGTGCTGTGTGTGGACTGACAGTACCCACAGTGCATAAAATCAGACACATGTGACTCTCTTCAGAACCCTGGGCTCTGCTTGAAGAAACCTCTAATGTTAAGAAAAGAGGAAGCTGAAAAAGTAGGTGATCTTTACACTTTTGTTTGAGAATTCATGTTTAGCAGAGTGTGTCACACCAATTTCAAATTTAGAAGTTACTGTGTAGACAAAGTATCTCAAATGGATTCAGCTATGTTGGAAAACCTGTATTTTGACTCATTTTTTGAGTAGTGCTTTGTGTGACCACAAAGAAATAGGTGAGTAGAACCAGTTGTGATTTAAAAAGTGGAAAATTGTTTGTAATTGGGGAGTTGTGGGGTGGTGGGCAGGAAAGATGTGGCAGGGCTTCCTTGGCAAAAAATGAACCAAAAAAATACAACAGATTATTCTGTGTACCTTTGGCTCTGATTTTGTTGCTAAGTCTTATTGCTAATGCTGTTTGTGAACTTGTAACTGCTGGAAGATGTGGATTTAATTCCTGCCTGCGGTTGCATTAGTTTGTGTGTTTGTGTGACAGCTCAAGCAAGTCTTTAAACAGTTTCTGAAGATTTTTATTTGTACCTGACTAAAACACTGTTAAGTACGTGCCTGTGTGAGGTTTTCTGGTGTTCTCTCTTTCTGTTGACAAATGTAGGCCCTTAGGAAGCATTTTTGTTGTGTAATCCTCTGAAGCCTGACAGATCTAATTTTGAGTTGAAGGGAAATAGCATAAGCCATTCAGCTTTTTGCCCAAATGCTGTGATCTAAAATCAGATAGGGGATAACTGCTGAAGGATGCCAAAAGGTCAGGAAAGGTGAGGGAAAAGAAATAGCCAAAACACATGGCTTAGCAAATAATAGGGTTACAGTGGTGGTAGAAAGTTCATATAGCTTTCCCCCAAAAGTATGCTTAAAAAAAAATGACCTGCTCTTTTTTAATATTTCTGCTTTAATATTTACTTACTACCTGAATGATTTTTATGGCAGATTGGTGAGACAACAAAACTGCCTGTGTGATGATCTGTTTTGATCTCCATTCTGAGATTATAAACTGAACCACATTACAGTAAAGTTGGTTTTAGTGGAATTGACTCCCAAACTTCAATGTTGTAAATAAATATATCCAAAATATGAGGTAGTTGTAGAGAGTGTAAAGATCACCCCTGAGCCTCCTTTTCTCCAGGCTAAACAACTCCAGCTCCCCCAGCTGCTCCTCATCAGAATTGTGCTCCAGACCCTTCACCAGCTTCCTTGCTCTTTGGATTTGCTCCAGCACCTCATGACTCAATGATGGTGTTGTAGACTGTTACCTATGTAAAAGCATAATTCATACCTTTCCTTATTTGTAGTAATTCAAGATGTGATGATTGATGTTCCATTGAATTTGTTGTGATGCACAAATTACCAGTGTTTCACTGTGGGGTTTTTTGTCTGATCTTGATGATTACACTGCCATTTTTTTAATATGCTGGTGATACTATTGATGGGTTCTCTATTTGGAGACAGTAAACCTGGGGAGAATTTTCATTCCACTTTCCATTTGGGATGTAGGTTTAGCCAAGAGTACTGACTGGCAAAGCAGAGGTGACCTTCAAGAGGCTTGCACCAGGCAGGGTAGACTTAGTCTGAGCGGGACTTAGTGGCAGGTGACAGATTAACCATAGTTTGTTTGATATTTTTACAGCTTTTGATGAAAAAAGCCTTTGCATTTGCAATTAATAATCGCATGAATTTAATCAGCTCTTACAGAACATTGATTTGCTGTTCTTTTTGGCAGAGTTTTCCTTTTGTCATGGGCTTCATGAATGAGAGGAAGGAGCCTTTCTATAAAGTTCTTTTTTCTGGTGAAGCTTCAGGAAGGATCACTTTGTGGCATGTTCCTGATGTCCCTGTGTCAACGTATGATGGTTCACCAAAAGGTTTGGCACTTTTGGCACTTTGCTACCATCTTTTTCATTATGTCTTGAGGTCAATTTTCATGAAAACTGAAACTCTCATTAAAACCTTTTCACACTAGAAAGTGATGTTCATTTATTCCTTGTGTGATGGTTGTCTGTAGTTAAAAGGAATAGCAGCTGCTGACTTTCCATCTCTAGGCTGGAGAAAGGATAAGTTTGGGGAAGCGATAAAGAGATGAAAATGTGTATTTTGTTTTGTTTGAATTTTTATGTTTTGTTTTACATAAAAATCCTCTCTTGCCCCACCCTCTAGAGATCCCAATTACAGCAGTGTGGACTCTTCAGGATAATTTTGATAAACACCATTCAATGTCAGAGGGCATTATTGACCATCTTTGTGCAACTGAAGATGGGACTGAAGCTGCAGTTGTCAGTTCCTCTGTGTACATATCTGGGCTCGATAAGCTCGTGTGTGGATGTGAAAATGGGAAAATTTTTGTAACTTTAGGTTTAAAAACTGCAAGAGCAAGACTTTTAGGAAACGTATCTTTGCTTAAAGGTAAGTTTTAACAATTTTGTTCAGATTCATCTCAGTGAAGCACAGAAGAGTGCATCCTTCTGGCATCCCCTCCAGTGATCCCTCTAAAAATTCTCTGAAAAATAGGGCAGAGGGTCGGAGATTGAATGAGGAAAATGGAAGATCATGGGGTTTTTTCTTCCTCTGTAGCTGATCTACCAGATCCCAGCTTAGTAATACCACAATGCTTTCCACTGTTAGGAGTCTGGGAATAGCTGTGGGGATGAAATCACCTGGAAATGAGATGTTGCATGTCACGATTTGGGTGGTAGTTTTTGTAATTTGCTCTTTAAAGATCATTCTACTGAAGGGAATGTAGAGGCTACATCTCAGTAGAGGAAGCTCAGGGTTTAGACCTTTGTCTTCCCTCTCTAGGAGCAGGTCCAAAATTCTTTGACCCCATATAAAGAACTGTTGTATTTAGTCTTTTGAATATCCTGACTTTTAGGAAATATACTGTAAAATGTGGAACCCCTATTCTTAAAGAACAAAAATAATTTACATATCATCTTGTTTCAGATAATCTACCTTATAAGGTTCTCAATGGTCATAGTAGCAGAGTCACTTGTTTACTTTATCCACATGACAAATCAGTAAGATTTGATCCAAGCTGGCTGTTATCAGGGGACCAGGATTCTGTTGTGATCTGCTGGGATATGTTTACTGGAAACATCTTACACCAATTTAATCTGCAATCTGGTCCAGTGACAGAGCTCTTGCGATCTCCAGAAAACTACAGAGTAAGTAAGAGAATAATCAGTGATGTCTTAAAAGAAAAAATATCTCTGTGTGTGAGGGGGTGCCTGTATATTTATATGTAAGCAATTTATTCTTAATTTACCCTCACTTAGTTGCCTTCTTTGAAAGTTGCCTTTAATTTCAGGGAGTTGGGTTCTTGCAAGTCTGTAACTTCAGTGGCATATTAAGTTGAAGCTCTTAACATTCTATTCACCATTTTTAATATCATGATTATCAACCTATATGTTAATCTGAGTAAATCCTATTTCTGAAGTTAGAAAGTGTACTCAGTAGGGCAAGGAGCTTCAACATAGTAAGAAAAGATAAGATTAAAATACTATTGATTCAAAGTGTATATGCTATGTGTTGGTTCCTGACACATCTTTGTGGTCCTTTGCATGTATGCTTTTGCATTATATGAGATTTAGAGTAATTTAAAGTTGTTTTCTAATAGAATTTTGAAGTTGAATTTAGGTGAAAATTTATTGTACTGAATGCTCTATGTAACTTTTCTGAACATTGTGTTCCATGGGCCTGGGGTTTCTACTTTTCCTCTCAGGAAGCCTGTGAAGACATATTTGATGTGTATGATGGACTCAGTTTGCTCACAAGCTAAAATACAGTAGTCAAAAAAATATTTTGCCACGACAAAAGTTTATAATGCTTGTAAGAGTCCTCTTAGTCCTTTTCCTGAAAACTGGGTAGGATTTAATGTCTTCTTGGGTGGTGCTTCAGTCTTCTTTAAAGAGCTGAATTTTTCCATAGGGGAATTTCCTCTGTGTGTCACCAAAAATTACTTGCAGGAAGGGAAGGCTTTTCAGAATCAGATCCATAGAGTGTAAAATGAATTTGAACTTACCCAGTTTTTCATTATAAATACATAATTTTGTCATAAGACCTGACATAATTTTATATCACGTGAGCAAGAGTTTGTTTTAAGGTAATTTTTTTGCTACTTTCTTATCTAGGACAACTGCTACTATATATTTGGTTATATAATCATGGCTTATGAGAGGCTAAATATTGTGAATAAATGGCATTTAAATTATTGTATTTAAAGTATTGACAAATGGAAGAAGGATTGTATGTTTTCCTGTCAGGAGATGAGTTGTACAGCTGGCCTAGTGAAAACAAGTTGAAGATGTTGGCTGAAGTAGAACATGATTTTCTAAAATGAGTGTGTTCTGGGAAAGAAATGGCTGGACAACTTTTTTTTTTACTAGGCTTGTTAAAGTGATGTTGTCAGGAATGTGGTTACAATGTTGGAACTGAAGTTTTCTGATTTGCAGGTAAAAGACCAGAGTATTGTGTGCTGTGTGTGCAATGATCACTCAGTAGCAATTCTACACCTTCAGAAGAGAGTATGTCTCTTACATGCCAGAAAGCACCTGTTTCCTGTGAAGAAGATAAAATTTGACCCTGTTGAAAATCTGCTAATTGTTGGATGTGAAGACAATTCAGTTTATATTTGGGAAATTGAAACAGGTAATGACAGAGGGGTGTTCACTTCCCTAAAGATTTGTTTGTCTGTTATGTGGTGTTATATAAGCAGGACTTATAGAAGACCAAAAGAGAAATACGAACACACTGAATATATTAATTGAAGAGTTTGAATGTTTAGATAAACAAGCAAGAAATAAAATTTTCTTGTGGTTTGATGTATACTCTGAGTGAAATAGAATAGCTATAAGTCAGATTGTGACAATGACAAGTTTAGCTGACATGGCAATGAACTCAGTAGGATATTTCTGGAAGCTATAAATAAAAATGCAAGTTACTCTGTTTAGTTATTAAAAAGAATGACATTTTCAGTCCTAACAGTCCCAGGTTGGAGCATAAGTTCTGGTTTCTTCAGAAAAATCATAATCTGAGAAACTTTTTGACTTAACTGATAAACAGTTAATAGCAGAAAATAATTGCAAAGCTCACAACTCTGTAGTCAGGAAAACTAAAGCTGAGTGTTTCAGGTTAAACTGTAGATTCCCAAGTGATTTGAGTGTCATGCTGATTCACATGGGTAATAAATGTAGTTATTTGAACTTTGACAGACAGAACTATTAGAGGTTATAATGGTACTGGACATTACAATACATTATTTTCATGCTATTCAGAGCTGTGTGTCCTGAGAGAAAGAAAGTGCATCACGAGTCTGGACCCACTGAAATGTACAGCATATTAAAACTGTATCAAAACACAATTTAGCTAATTTAGCACTGAGATCACAATTTACTTTACAGGTTATTACACTGCCTAGACTGTCTACTGTAGACAAAAATAGTCCCTTGTTTCGAAGTACAAAATACCTGCATTTAGTGAAGGACTTGGCAAAAGGAGTGCAGCATAAATTACAAGCTGGTTGTGTTAGTAAACTCTTTAATATCATTGAGCTGGGATAGGAAATACCTTCTGGTATTTATTTTTTCCCAATTGTACTGAGTTGCTTCTTGAAATAAAAATGTTTAGAATAAAATTAAATTGAACTAACAATTATAGACAATTATAAACTCTAGGTTTACACTGGTTTTTCTACAGCTACTCAAAAGTATAAAATTCTCCTATAAGTTTTTATATTTTTGCATTGTAATTTGAGATTTAAAAATTATTTAAACTTTTTGAAAAAAATCAATGAAACTTTGAGAAGATGCAATCTTAGGAGACAATTCAGTTGTATGTAATGGTGTACTTATTTAATGTGATCTCTGAGTGATTTAATGTGATTGCTGAGTGAATATATGATGGTTTTGCATAGAATTTTAGCTCTAGCTGTGGTAATAGGAAAAAGAATACAATGCCAAACTGCCAGAAGTAATACCAGACACTCAGTTGGGGTACTTTAAACTTTTTATCTTGCTTTTATTTGTTGGGTTCTTTTCTGCACGACTTTGAATTCTGTTTTCTGTTAAATATGTAAGATTCATCTTATGTGTGTTCTACTGTCCATGTAGATGCATAATATTACAGTTTTCCATGCATTTTCTCCAGCTGAGGGGAGAATGGGTTCTACCCTTCTGCTGAGTCCTCTTTCTGCAGTGTCTGTGGAAAAACTGTCTTGGGATCCTTCTTGCTGTCTTGTTGTTCCTCTAATCCCTCCATTTTACCAGGCTGTCAGCACATCTGCAATACTAAAAGTCATCTGGTGTTGAAGAAGGCCGGGTCTGCACTGCTCAGAAAGGTACCTTGCAGGATTAAATGATACTTAGAAGTGTATACTTCTGAATTAACTGCTGACAGGAAGGATACTTTTATCCCTACAGTGAGGTGCAGTGAGGATCTTAGTTAGAAACCAAAAAGCAGCACTGCCCTCACCCCGTCAACGCTGCGCCTGAAAAACTAGATAGAAAACCCCCAAATGTATAAAAGAAGCATTTTTTTCCTAGATTTCTGGGCAAAAAATATTGTGGAGAGAATTTAGTGATACTACAGTGTGTGCTGAACAGCATGGAAAATTACTTTGGCTCAGTTGTATAGAGGTGCTGGGCCAAAATGCAAATTTCTGCACTATAAGGACTGATAGTTTCTATCCTGATACAATACCCAAGGCAGCCCAATGCAGTTAAGGGGCTGGAAGCAGAATTACACTTCAGATGCAACCTTATTTAGTGCAGCTGGATAGCTTTGCACAGAAGTACAGTGAATTCTTTGTAAATCAGTGAGATTTAATAGCATAGGATTGTAATGGCACCATAGAGAGAAAATTCAGAGTATATTTGGTCTGTCCTCTAGTCATAAAAATGCTGCCTATTTCAACATTAAAGAGGAAGTAAAATTGATGCCACTGCTTATATATATTATATATTCAGAAAGAGTGGAGATGAAGTGTGTTTTTAAGTTTCTGTATCTTTTGTTACAAAAGTATCAAGGAAGAGTGAGTGCCACAATCACCACCTCTTTAAGAAAATCTGGAACACAAGAAAAAAACGCCATTATTTGCTATACAGTAGCAATTAAAAAAAAGAATTTTTTTTCCTCTCCTGTTATGCAATGGTGACTAAAAGATGCCATCTGGGGTGAATACCTGAGAAAGCCTAGTAGAGCACAGCTGTAGTTACTTTAATGTTGAGTTACATCTGTGTTGCAGGAGAACACAAGAGGTCGTGGCGCTGATCCTTGAAATTGGCCTGTCCCACATCAAGAGCTGTGTAGATATTTCAGTGCCACTGGGGCAGACAAAGCACTGCTCAGAGGCGTAAGGAAGATGTGCACAACACCCCAACCCAACCTCTGCAGGAGCACAGCAGCCTTTCATGATGATTTTCATCTCTTGGCAAACGAACAGGGCAACCAACCACACGTGGTACCACTTGTCTGTACAGTTACTTGTGAGCACGTCCCTGACTCAGTTAAATAGGACAGAAGTCTAAGTGGTAGCCTTGTGCTTGAATTCCCTTATGGAAAGGGACATAAGACAGTTTTTGTTGTTTTTATAGTCAAAAAGTGTTTACATTTCTTCTGGCTATGTAGTTAGCTTCCATCTAAAGCTTTGCCTCTTAAAGTCAATGGAGACCTGATTTTTGTGTCACTCATACATCACTGTTTGCAGTTAAAAAAACTAATCTGAACAGTGTTCTTGTACTAAAGTTAATGGAGGACTGGGAAAACAGCCAGTCTGTTTATAATTTCAGGCTGTGGATTAAGGAATTTCTATGAATATTTCAATATTTACACTATTGTACAGTCAGCGATAATTCTGTTGAATTTGAAAGATGACTTCAGAAAAGTTTAGAGGCCTAGTACCGTTTTAACTCCAAAACTCTCTTTCTACCAGGTTATTAATAGGATGACCCCTTAAGAAAATTGAAGACTTCATTGTGCATAAGTTTGTTGTCCAGTTTCCTGTGACGGAGGCTGACATGCTTTTACAGAAAAGCATTCTGAAGACTTTAAAATGTTTGTCTCTTAGCAGGCTTTCATAATAGGACTTTTACACTTTATGGGGTGGGAGGAACTTTGTCTCACAGATTAAAATCTAAGCCAGTACTACTTCATGTATAACAACTTATACCCTCCTTTCATGAGATTCCATTGACTATATATAAGATTATCTTTGGCAAAGTTTGCTGAGTACAATAGGCTGCATGTATTCCAAATAAATATGCATTTCAGTGTACTTTATGCTGAAATGTTAAATATCAGTAGTATAGTTGAGTTCAAGAGGAATTTAAGTCTATCTTTTTCCCAGTGACTACAAGGTGAGTCTGAAAAGTGTGGGGGGAACAAAGCTCATTACCTGCTGCTCTTACTGGTCTAGAATAGATAAATTTAATCCCATCCTTTTATTCCTTTGATTTACACAGCAAAGTAAAATTGTTCTATTCTAAGTTTAAATGTTCTACCTGCATGTGGGTAGTGACAGAGAAAACAGTACAGAAGCCATGAATTAATATCTGTGTAGTTTAATTTATTTTGCCTAAATTTTAATATATGGATATGGCAACTTTCCATTACAGTGGAATATCTTTCCATGACAATGAATATTGATCTAATAATACATTCAGAATATTAATATAACATGTGTACAGGATATGTTGGAAACCTGTGTGCTAGAAGACAAATACGAAAATCAATAACAAATTTTATTCTAATTAAAGTGCAGAATATTTCTTCCGATAGCCACCACTTGAAATCCACTTCAGTAAGGAAATTAGCTGTTACCTGTATTGCCTTTACATTTCCCTAACCAGTTGGTATCTTTGCCTTTTAAAAAGGTAAATATCAGTACACAGTATGATAAGATGTAGTAATAAAAGGATCAATGGATTTTTTTCTTGCTCCATACAGCGTATGGCAACATGTCCACCAAGCTACCTTTAATATCTAACAGGTATTGAAAGTGAGGAAAAAATGGATAGATTTTTAAATAGCAATCTCCCTTGCTCAGAGATAGCAATCTTCATTTATCAGAGATACATTATTTTTCAATTAGTACTAGTTTAATATGAATTTATTCCTTGATGTTTATAATACTTGCAGAATGAATCATCTATCAATTTCCTGTTATTTTCTTTTACCTTATGACTCTTGTTCTGTTTTATTGTGTTATGATGTGTTTAGTTTGAGCTTAAAGTCAAAATAACATCACTTAATAAAACTCCAATTTAATGTTCAATTGTCATAATACATATTTAGCTTTGTACTGGCTACATTGTGCTTTTCATACTCACCCGGGGAACACAAACTTTCAGAACTGTCTTACATGTTGGTAGCTCCAACATGGGGAAAAAAGAAAATTGAAACGTGGCTAAAGTGTATTTCTGCTGAGGTCAGATCTCATGAACAGTCAAAACTAACTGTACGCTAACAATCCTTACTAGAAAAGGTCAAAATCATCAGTAAATAACAGACAATTACTAAATAAATATCTATATAATATAGTTTTATCCACACTGTTTAATGTATATTGCTTTCTCTTTGTGCTCTACTTGAATCCTTTTCTGAATATATTACTTTTTCTTGTATCTTGCCACGTTGATTTCCACAATATCTGC